GCCCAGGCAGGAAAGTCCGTGAGACTTTGGTGGTTATCTCAGTTAACCACCAAAATGCTGGAAAGGGAGCTGTGGCTCAAGTGGTAGAGCGCTCAATTTAGCATAAAAGCTCAGGGACAGTGCTTAGGCTGAGATCCAACCCCAGGAAAAGCAGAAAAAGAATTAATTAAAATAAAAAATTATCATCTACAAATGACGAACCCCAAATCTATTCTTTCCAGCTCTTAGCTTTCTTCTGAACGTCAGTTCTGTAGATGTCTAGTGAAGTGTCATAATATTTGCAGACACATATTTAAATGTTATATTCTTATTCTTATCTAACTCAAGACTGTCTCAAACGGAACTCTTTTTTTTAATTGTGAAAATACTGTACAGAGGGTTTACAATTACATGGGCAAGATAATGAGTACATTTCTTATCAAGCATTGTAGCCTCCTCCTTTGTTTCCCCTTCCCATCCCTTCTCATCCTCCCCCCACCCCCCCACCAAAGCTGTAAATTTCGTTTTTGACTTAACGATTGTACATCTCATTGTTGTAATGGGTCCACCTGTATCCCTATTTAAATGATTTGTTTTTCCCCTTCCCCTCCACAAATTATACCGACATCAAATACCGTGAAAGCAGGGGTTATACTGTGGGGCAGGGACATACAAAGCAACAAAGAAATAATCTTATAAATGTGTTAGAAACAATCACATGAAAGAAAAAACATTTGAATACATATCTTAGGGTTTATTTCCCTAACATCAACTTATCTGACCTTTTCTGCTTGACTCAGACATACACTGGATATTGCAAATAAGGGAAACCATGGGACCTATGTTTCTTTGGGCCTGGCTTACTTCACTTAATATAATTTTTTCCAAGACTTTCCATTTCCTAACAAACGGGGCAATGTCATTCTTTCTGATGGAGGCATAGAATTCCATTGTGTATATATACCACATTTTCTTGATCCATTCATCTACTAAGGGGCATCTGGGTTGGTTCCATATCTTAGCTATGGTGAATAATGCTGCAATAAACACAGTCGTGCTGATAGCTTTAGTGTGGTCTTGTTTGTGAACATTTGGGTAAATGCCCAAAAGTGGGATTGCTGGGTCATAGGGGAGCTCTATGTGGAGTCTTTAGAGGAACCTCCATACTACTTTCCAAAGTGGTTGAACAAGTTTATACTCCCTAACAATGCAGTAAGGTTCCCTTCTGTCCACATCCCCTCCAGCATCTGTTGTTATTAGAGTTCTTGATTATAGCCATTCTACCTGGGGTGAGGTGGTATCTCAATGTTGTTTTGATTTGCATTTCTTTTATGGCTAGGGAGGTTGAGCATTTCTTCCTATGTCTATTGGCCATCCTTCTTTCCTCTTCAGAGAAGTTTCTCTTTAAGTCTTTAGCCCACTTATTTATTGGGCAGTTGTTTCTTTGAAGATTTGTTGTTGGGAGATTTAATTTTTTGAGTTCCAGGTATATTTTAGATATGAGACCCTTGTCCATTGTATGGCCAATGAAGATCTTCTCCCAATCCGTGGGCTTTCTATTGGTCTTGCTAGCCATGTCCTTTGCCATGCAGAAGCTCTGCAATTTCATGCAATCCCATTTGTCCAACCTTTCTTTGATTTGTTGTGTTTCTGGGTGTCTATTAAGAAAATTTCAGCCTGTGCCAAGGAGACCTAGGGTTTCTCCTATTCCATTCTGTAATGTTTTTAGAGTGTCTGCTTTGACTCCGAGGTCTTTGATCCATTTGGAGCTGATTCTGGTGCAGGGTGATATATAAGGATCTAGCTTTAGTTTTCTACAAGTAGTTACCAATTTTGCCAGCACCATTTACTAAAGAGGCTGTCTTTCTTCCATTTTATCTTTTTAGCTCCCTTATCAAAGATTAGATGGCTATAGTTCTGTAGGTTTATTTCTGCGTTTTCAATTCTATTCCATTGGTCCTGAGGTCTGTTCTTGTGCCAGTACCAAGCTGTTTTGATTACTATGGCTTTGTAGTAGAGTCAAACAGAACTCTTGAACTTACTTACCCTCCCTACTCCCATTTCTGTTAGTATGCCATTAGACTCTAAACTAAAACCCCATATACCTTTGAATTGTTCATCTTTCTGAAGTCCACAGCCAGTCAGAAATCAGAATGCAGTTCTTCCAGCTCATTCTCCTGCTTCCTTGCCTGGTTTAATCCCACTGCTGCCTCAGGGTTTGAGTGCCTTCACTGTTCACTTAGCAATTACACGTGCACAGCCCTGCCGCCATGCCAATCAGCCTGTTCCACTTCATGCTCTCCATTGATTTCACAGACAGATGGACTGAGAATGCGGTGTCACATTGGTGACTCAAGACATGAACCAAGATAGCATACCGGCAAGTTAGAGCAGAAAAGGGGCAGAGTTGCACCTTTCCCTAGTGAAGGTGTTTCTACCACAGTCCTGTGGTTTGTGTGTCCTGTCCAGCACTGTGGTGTGGCCAAGCCTACGCTCAGTGGTGGTGTCCCAGCCGGTCTTGTGAAGTAACAGTATAGAAGACAGATGTACAAGCCAGAATGCCACTTGTTTTGAGGAAAGCATGATTTTCTGTGTTGACAAGATAGTGTCAAGGGTCTACGGGTGAGGTTTAATCAAGGTCCTCCTGCATGCAATGCTGGAGTGAATCCGAATTCCCCTCAGATGCTCCCCCCCCATGTGCATTTGTAAGAGTGCATCTCGGGAAGAAGTTCTTTCTCATTTGGTTCTTTTTTTTATTGTGAAAATACTGTACAGAGGGGTTACAATTACATGGGCAAGATAATGAATTCATTTCTTATCAACCATTGTAGCCTCATTTGGTTCTTTTTCCTGTGACAGTTATCCTCTGAAAATTAATACTAAGATACAAACGAGATGTTGTCACTGCTTTGCAAATATTAATGTTAGGAATGTCGGGTTTAGCCAGATGCTGGTGGTTCATGCCTGTAATCCAAGCTGCTTAGGAGGTTGAGATTTGAAGACTGAAGTTCAAAGCCAACCCCAGCAGGAAAGTCCTTAAGACTCTTCCAATTCACCACCAAAAAAGCTGAAAGTGAAGCTGTGGCTTAATTGGTAGAGTATCTGCCTTCAACATAAAGCTAAAGGACATTACCCAGACCCTAGTCCCAGCGCGCGCATGCGCGCTTACACACACACACACACACACACACACACACGCACGCACGCACGCACGCACGCACGCACGCACGCGCGCGTCAAATTTGACTATTTTAAATACGGAAAACCAGCACATGTTATCTTCAAAATGAAAGAAAGGTAGAGCATCATTTGGGGGTATCATTCTCTTTCTATAAAAGTAGTAATTTTTCTAGACCTAGACCCCGAGCTTGTGCACCATTTTATGAGATTAAACTTAAAGCCATAATGACGGATGACTTTTGTTGCTGAACCCAAGTTTATTATGAAAAATACAGCCACAAGAGTCAGGGAAAAATTGCTTAAATTTTTGATATATTAGTTCTAAAGGAAAATTGAACCTATTCAGTTTCTTTCTCTCCTTGTAATTTTGCTGAAGTTCTAATAGAAAGAAATAACCTTAGATTGTAGTAAAGAAACATAGTCCCTTGCAAGAAATTGTGTGAATATTTTTTCAAGAGAGAAAAGGAAAACTGTGTCTTACCAAAATGAGTCTTTTTAAATTATATTTTTATTATCTTTACATAGTTGAACAAATGGGTTACAAGTCAACATGTCAGTTTATAATCATCTTGAAAAATCATCTTTGTTTTCCAATTTTTAGACTGAAAAAAAAAGATTTCTTTCCTGCCAACGTATCAGTAACATTAGAAATCAGGATAATACAGATAAAGAAAATGTCCTCAGATTTAACTGTGTTTTAAAAGCCTCACTTCTTTCTCGAATCTTAGCAAGTAGAAACCAATACATTTTGTTTCCTTGACCTCTTTTGCTTCCTTTAAGTACCCTTCAGGGGAGGCCTGTGTTAACAGTAAAATCACTCAGTGACTGTCAACAGAAGGTAATGAGAAGCTACCCTGGATAATTAGTTTTTTGAGTAATTATATATCTTTAAGCTTTTCTTGAGAAAATTAAAAATACTTTGAGGTAGTCAAATTACATGCTGAGGAACAGAGAGCTCTCAAGTGTGAGAGAAGATGAAAGTAGTGCTCGAATAACCAGTGAAAATGTGAAATAAGGAACGGGGGATGAGCAGGACCATCGGGTGTCATAAGAGTCGCCTGGTCCCGTTGTGGTGTTTACTACCATGCTGCCATCTGCAATGCAGTACTTGGTTTGAAATGAATTGGGGAAGTGTTGTGATTATAACAGAGCTATTGAGCCATAAGGATCATGAATTCTTGTCTTGGTGGTACAAAGGAGAACAGGGAAGTGGTCCTATTTGTCTGTAAAGCTAATGGCTGAGAAAAGAGATCGGATTATGGACAAGGAAATCAGAAAAGGTTTGCTAAGCCAAATGTTTTACCTAGTCTGCTACTTTATAACTAAAAGATACGTTATTGCCATTTGCGGGAAATAATTTATGAACCAGAAAAGTATCAACTTATAGTTGATACAGAAAGTTTAGAGTATAGAAAGCTTGAAAAATTCTTTAATGTAGGATGACTCATAGATTATTGGTTTATGGTGTGCTGAATATTGGTTTATGATGAGTTAGGAAGAAAGTAAGGATGCCATAAAATGCAGTCATTAACTTCTGAGGTTGTTACTAGAAGGAATGTACTGTCTTAGATACCAATACATGGTGTACATGGGATACCCAGAGCATGCAGTTAACCTGTGTGACGCTTCACATATTCTACTTTAATTCTTTTTCTCTTATCTATAAATCGTTTCATGTGAGATAGATTATTATCTTAGCCCATAACATTTTTCTTAAGCTATTCAGGTACACCTCTGGTTGAGTAGTTTCAGTACTCATGGTTGCATGTAGTAATCCCAACATGACCTTAGAATAAAATAGGATACTCATCTCAAATTGCTCCTTGATTGATCTCTTCTAGAAAAGTTTTTTGAAATGAAGAAAGGACAATGTAAAGATGCCCTAGAAATTTACAAGCGATTTCTCACAAGGATGACGCGAGTGTCCGAATTTCTCAAGGTTGCCGAGGTGAGTAATAGCTTTTGTGGGAATTTGATTTAAAAGCTCTTAGCTCATGTGTGTATATAATATATAATCTGGCAAGACCTCTGCCACTGGGAGCTGTTGTATGCTCTCCAGTCAGGTGAGCATTCTGCCTTTAATGAACGTTCCACAGCTCAGAAGCTAGTTGCTGCCCGGCTAATGAAAGAGCGGTTCACTCTTAAATTCCATCTGATGTCTATTTGCTGTTACAAGAAAGTGCTTCTTTTTGTTGAACCCTTGGTTTTTCTCTAGAAAAGTTTATGCTTTCTTTCTTAATGCGTGTGTGTATTCTAAATTCTGACCCTCCTTCCAGTATTGGTGACCTTAAATACAATGAAAGAGGAAAACAAATTATAACTCACTTTAAAAAGCTTGTAAATTGTTTCTGAAGGGTATTTAGACTTAATTACTTCATGACCATACAGCTGTTGTTTCTATGGTTATCTGCAAGAGGATAAAACCTGATCGTGGCTTCACATTGATATTGGCAATATTGGCATTGTTGATGTAGTGCGTTGGCAGGATCACCAGTGGAATTTATCCTATATAGCAACCAACCGATTTCAATTTTGAAAATACAATCAATAAACACAACTTCGAAAGTACTACAGTACATATATTATCTTTCAAATTTCATTAATTCACAGAAATAATAATTTTAGCATCCGAGACCCACAAACTATCACTAAATGAAAATTCTTGAGCTTTGCCATATATGACATGTAGCCAGAATAAAGATCTCCCTTTGCTATAATAAGGCAAATAAATGTAGGCACTGGCTTAAATAAAAAACAATAAATGAATAATAATAAATATGCTCATAGATATTTTCTAATGGTTATTGAGAACCATAGATTGTCTTTTTGGGAAAGAATAGAATTGCTCACATGTGTTTTCCTTTGCTCTATATGGGTTTTATTGTTTGTATTTGGTATGATTGCTCCCGTGGTTTAAGTATAGTTATCAAGGTAGCCTGATAAAATTTGCCGAATTCTTTCTGGGAAAGGATTGGTTATGTCCAGACACTCAGCACAGAAGATTACTTCATATTCCCCTACCCACCCCAGGTTGCCTGCTCCTGGTGTTCCCCTGAGTTGGTGTACATGAGCCAGAAGCTGACAGCTGACAGAGACCTGGTTCTCTAATCGACATCACACAGGCACTGACACATAAGTTTTGACTTCATGGCTGATGTCACGCACTCGTTAGTACATGCTACATTGACACCATTGGGAGCCATGCAGCAATCGCTTCTAATTTTAAGAATGTCTTAAAACAACTGAATATATGTATTGTATTTTTATTTGAACATTGTGAATAAAACTTCTGCTTAAACGTTTTAAGTTATCTTTAAGTAGTTATACAAAGGGATGTCAGTTCAACATGTCAGTTGATGAGTACAGTGCATCTTGATCAATGGAAGACTTTTTATAGCATAGGTGATAATTTGAAGGAATCATTTTATTAATCATTTAAACCACAGTGGGATATTCCTAATCACTTGTGTTTCCTTTCATATTTAAATTGCATTATCTACCATTTGAACACATGGCTTGAAGGCAACATTGAATGGTTTGGTTATGATTGGTTAAGATAGAAACTGTTCAACAAATTTATAGACCCTCTGTCTTTCCAAATAATATTCATGCCATATTCATACGAATGGCTTGCCCTTGATAGCTAAGATGCAGTCTAGAGAGATTTTTTTAAATATCTCTACACCACCATTTTTTTTTTACAGAAATGGGACTGGAACTGGTGCTCAGGAATAGAGTGGTATCTAGCATGTATGAGACTCTGGGTTAGATTCACAGAACCAGAAAACCAAACCACCAATACAGACACATTGGCTACTTGGAAAATATTAATAATAAATTGTCCATCTTATAGACTTGTTGAACAATTTCGTGGAAATACTCAAATTTCCAGAGGCATTGTTTGAAGGGCAGGAAAATTACTGTGTCTTAGATTCTTATATTCAAGTTTCCTTAGGCAGAGACAGCTGAAATGTTGTAAAAGGGTTGCTTTATAGGTAGGCATTTCTGCTAAACAGTTTTCCTTTTATAGAAACAAGTTATTCTTAGTTTACTATTCCCGGCTAAGTATCAGACTTGTAGGCGTTGTATCTCCCTGAATACTTGCGGACAAAAAGTGGTGAGATTTATACCTCTCATTTCCCTTCTGTCATTGGTTCCCTTGTGATTCAGAAGTTCAGAGCAGTGAAAATACAACATTGACCAGAGAGAGAATGAGAGAGAAACTAGTGCTCTACCACTTGAACCACAGCCTCACTTGTGACTCATCTTTTTGGGTAGTTCAGTGGAGATAAGAGTTTCACAGACTTGGTTTCTCCAGGCTGGCTTTTAACCATGATCTTCAGATCTCAGCCTCCTGAGCAGCTAGAATTACAGTTGTCACCCACTGCCCTGCCCAGTTTCTAGATTTTTGACTGGTTGTGGACAATACCTTCAAATTTTATGCTTCGATGTCTTTTCATTTGTTTCTGGCTTCCAGTAAAATTCTAGGTATTTGTTATAACCATACTGTTGAAATCATTTTTCTCGTCTATTGAGTAGGAAACTGCATAAGGGATATAGGATATATGGTAATATATACATTTATATAAACATACATAAATAAAGAGAATTCTTTTACATCAAGATTTAGCTGCAGTTTTAACAGCTGTCAATGAGCTTCCACATTGGTTAATTTTTGGGTGCCAAAAATTTGAAAATTTTTTTAAATCCCCCTTACTTGGGAGATGGGAAAGAAAGAAGGGATGACATTGATCAAGATGTATTGTGTCTCAAATTGCTATGTCAAACAGAAACCCTTTTGTGTATATGCCTAAAGATAATTTAAAAATTAAAAAAATCCCATTTAGTAATTTTTTATTTTTTTTTTAATCCGCAGCAAGTTGGTATTGATAAAGGGGACATCCCCGACCTCACTCAGGTAAGTGACTCCACTTAGAAGAGTCAGCACACACGCATTCATTCTCTGAGTAGAACCAGAGATGGGCAGACTCTTGCAAGTTTGTGATTGAATTTTAATCCGTCGACCAGTCTCTTAGAAATTATTCTATCTTACTAATTTTTACTTACTGTCTATTGACTATAGTTTTGGAGGTAATAGGCAGATTTTCTTGCCTGAAATCTGAGGTCTTCTCATTGTTGAACTTGAATCAAAAGAAAGCCTGGAATGATGTTATTAAAAGGGCCTGAGGCCTAGCTCTGGCTTCTTATACACATAAGAACTGTCTCCGTAATTGTGCCCCTAGTTTTCACCATATCCCTGAAATGGAGGAGGGACGTGAAGAGCAAAACCTGAATCACAATTCATTTGTATTCATTCTGCTTCCTTTTGAAGAGGAGGGATCTCTCTATATGAAAGAGTATTTTTTAGAAGTCGTGGTAGAAGATGAGTTACTTTTCTGGGGCTGATCTAGTAATGACAACATCCCTAGAAACTTCCTTACCAGCTCTTCTATCTGTCAAGCGTATAGTACAGAGCTCCTGCTATACAATCACCGCCGTCACAGATCGGCACGCACAGCCGTCCTGTGAGCCTCTCACAGCGGAAGGAGCTGCTCCTGTGTAACCAGATGCAATGGCAAATGTCTGTCCTGAACTCAACACATCCTTTGACTAGATGGTGGTAAAAAGGTGGAAGAGAATTAGAGCTACCACCTGGTATACTAATGCTGAATATAGTCACACACATAGATATTCATGTACAAGAATCTCCTTATAAACTGAGATTCACTGTAATAAAGAAAATGGTCAGCTCCTCTGTATGGTATTCTCACAATTTAAAAAAAAGAAAATTGTCACAATATAATTTCCCACTTTTTAAAAGTGGTATGTTTCAAAATTTCTCTTGTATGTACAGTACATTGGGATATTATACATCTAAAGTAATGTTAATCTTTCAATTTTTCTTAACCATTATGGAAATCTAATGAGCTGGTCTTCTAAATTTGTGTTAATGACATAGAAGATATTGAAAATTCTTCATGCATAAAATTCAGACAGCAGTTCAGAACATGATAGAATTGTGTATTGTTCTAATTGAAAAACTGGGAATATTACCTTTATAATAGCAGTTAAAAAATTAGGAAATAGCTTGTAATATTATGATAACCAGAATATTAGTTTCAATGTGTTGGCTCCTACTTGAAAATACTAATATCTGAGTGCACAGCTGGATCATGTACTGGTATCATTTGAGTATGACTAAGATTCAATGTACATGAAATATTTAGAAATCAATTTATTACAGGTAGATTTATCTTTATGATCTTAAATATTATAATAACATAAAAGCAAATAAGATAATTTTCTTCATTTTCCATAAATTACAAATATATATATATATATATGTATATATTTTTGCTAAATATCCTGGATGACATATAAGTGTTTACTTTTATGAGGTGGATATTAATAGATTTTAGAAGCAGCAAGTCATCTTTCTTTTTACACTCTGCACAGCCCTCACTTTGAGATAAGTGAGAAACGAGGTATTTTTCAAGCCTGGCATTCAGGTAGGAGCAGGTGCTTGTTTAAGACTGTGCAGTCTGAACTCCAGGAAAGATTTAAGGGGCTGCTTAAGGAGTTCTTCATTTCCCCAATTCAGAAATGATGTCATTGAAAGATTCATGTTTAATTCATGGGTTTAATTTTTAGTCGTATATTTATTGCAACTTTCATAATCCTAAGAATTTCACAAACAGCTGGGCACCAGTGGCTCCAGTTTAGGAGGCTGGGATCTGAGGATCAAGGTTTGAAGCCAGGGCGGCAATGATCTTGAGACTCTTACCTCCAGTTAACCACCAAAAAAAAAAAAAAAAGCTGGAAGTAGAGCTGTGGTTCAAGTAATAGAGCACTAGCCTTGAGCAAACAAAACAAAACAAAACTCTAGGACAACACTCGGGCCCTGAGTTCAAGCCCCAGGTCCAGCACAAAAGAAAAAATAATTTCAGCTATATGCTTTCATGATTTGGGACACATACTTTACCCTCAAAGAAATAAAACCGTGCCCTGGATCTAATGGAGAGCTGTCCTGTGGTAGAGTTTCATTAGAATCTGATGGCCCTGCTGGCTTCTGCTTCTTTTGACTTAGAGCTAGGTGAGGTTCCAAATTCACATTTCTTTCTTTTTTTTAGTGATAGTGTTATTATCTTTAAAGACTTACAATTAACAAATCAGTTTCTGAATACAAGGCTTCCTGACCCTTCCCGCTCCCTGCTCCCACCCTCCTCCATGCATCTCCCATCCTCTTCAATGCACCCACATTCCTCATGATCATTTCGTTGGACTCTGAGTGAGTTTTCTAAGGAATGACACTGTTTCTATTCTCCCCTGCCAATACCACACATTCGTGTACACTTGCATACCACCTAGTACATGTTTACTTATATATTTATCACATTTATCTTCAATTTCCCTCATTAAAAACCTCTCTAGTTAGGTTTCTCTTGTAGACATTTCAGTTCCAGTGCAGTAGTACGTTGTGGCTCTGTAGGCCATTTGTGACTTCTTGTGGGATCATTAGCAACAGACAGCTAGGCACCCCCCCATAATTGTTCCTTAGAGCCCCTTCCCCAGGTCTAAGCTAGAGAATTAAGCCCACTAGGACAGGTCTGAGCCGCAAAGCAAAACAGTCTGGGCATCATCATCTATTAGATCACGTTAGCATTAAACTGGAGATGGGGCCTGCATAGCAGGCTGGGTGAACCCCATTTAACTCCCTCAGATTAGGTTCTGCTGTATCTAAGGTTCCTCCCTGGCTCACCTGGCATGGAATCTAGCCACAGTGATGGACAGAAATACTTGGGGAAAGAGAAACAGAGGGGAGTCTAGTGAGCATGAGGTCAGCCCAGTGACTGAGTGAGGGCAGAAAGGAGATAGCTCACCCAGACAAGAACGCCATTCCTCGCACAGCAAATTGGAAGAGGGATTCAGCGTGTACCTTTTATGTTAAAGAATGCATTATTATGAGTATGGCTATCTGTAGCCCTGTTCAACTGTGCATATAAAATAATCACAGTTTACATGACATATAATGAAACATTCAAAAGATCTTTAAATTTTGTATTTAGAAGTCAACATGGTATCAGGGGTGAAATATTTCTGCTCAGCACATCAAATAATTTCTTAGACCTACCGATCAAAATTTTGAATGATCTATTAATTGCTTTGTTTCTATTTGATTTTAATGATGCTTTATCTAAGTCACTTTAAACTTAAATTATCTAAAGCATCTACATTGGATATGGGTGCTTTCATTCTGATTCCTGGCATGCAATCAGCTATGAATTATTTCAAGAAAAGAATTGGATTGTGTGTGTGTGTGTGTGTGTTCCAAATTTTAAATATATCCATTAATAAAAACCACCAAAGGTTTTGCTGGCAGGAATTTTGGTTGACCTGAAATCTACTGGTAAAGAAAAGCCACCTGTTAAAGATTGGACCCCTTCTGCACGGGTAACCATGGCTCATTGCTGTCACCTCTTAGCCTCCTGGGTTGATGTCTTGTTTTTGGCTTGGAGTTTCTTCTGACTGATCTGTTGACTTTGCATTTTTAAATGCACAAGACAACACTTTGTTACCATAAACTACTCTTACAAGAGCAGAGGCATTCTGGAAGTTTTGCTACTTTGAAGTTTAGGAGATCATTGATGTTCACCTCCTGTCTCATGCCTTGATATTTTGTTTTCTTGTAGGAACTTTAAGAGAGAGAATACTACCTTTTCCTGTTAGCTCATGTTTTTAATCTCTGTGATTATAAACACCATGTATTTTTCTGAAACAGTATTTTAAAGCGAGGTATACCAAAGAATTGCACTTTTTACATTGAAGTTCATATTCAGAGGACTCTAGTCTTCTAACCTGAAAGAAGTTCTATGATTTGAAAACATGAAAAGTTTGGGTTCATATATCCAGGCTTTCATTCCATCATCAAAATCCTCATCAATTCATCAGATACAAATTCATCTTAAAATGGTCAGGCCATTCTAGGCTTTCCTTATTCAGGTTACAATGTGCATTCATTAGTGAAGACACATTCTTTATAATGTAGAACCTACCTGACATAGAGAGAAAATTTTCCTTTATCTCTCCTACAAATTCATTTTTTTTGGGTCCGGTTGTGGGGCCTGAACTCTGGGCCTGGGCACTGTCCCTCAGCTCTTCAGCTCAAGGCTAGGGCTCTACCACTTGAGCCACAGCGCCACTCCCGGCTTTTTTCTTATGTGGTGCTGAGGAATCGAACCCAGGGCCTCAGGCATGCAAGGCAAGTGCCCTACCACTGAGCCACCTTCCCAGCCCTACAAATTCATTTTTTAAATCTGAGTGTAGGATGGGCATCAGTGGTTCATGCATGTAGTCTACACTCCGAAAGCAGAGGGAGAGAGAATCATGATTCAAGGCCAGCCCAGGTAAAACTTCTCAGGACCCAGTGTCTGCCAGCAGCTGGATATACACCTGTCATCCTGGCTACACAGCAGGCTGGGGTGGGAGAATGGCAGTTCAGGCCAGCCCAGACAACAGAAAAGCTGACCCTACCCAATAGAGAAAGCCGGGTACAATGGTACACACCTGTCATCCCAGCCACAAAGAGGGTGAGATCAGGAGGAATTGTCCAGGCTAAACCCTGCAAAACACCAGAAATTACTGGAACAAAAAAAGAGGGCTAGAGACATAGGTCAATACTAAAATACCTGCCTAGATCACACAAAGCCCTGAGTTCAAACCCCACCATTGACAAATGATAGATAGATAGATAGATAGTGATAAACGTATAATAATTTCCCTGAAATTCTTTTATTCTATAACTACGTGCTTTAGTTCACTTAACAATTTGCATTTATGGTGATTGTATACAAATGTATGTATGTAAAAATCACATAAATGTTGAGTTTGAGTACTATTCGTAAGAAGAAAAATATAATTCTGTGAGCTGATTTAACAGCACAGTTACTAGATTCCTTCAAAAATAGTTTTATAGTGTTTTAAAAACTACAAAAGGTTAATATATTAAAAAGAACAGTTATTATGAGTTAATATACCTGTAAATGTCATTAGATGTTTCATTTGTGAAATATTTTTCTTTGAATGCCTGTGCTTTTGTTAATATCTTGTTGGAGTAAGACTATTTGGGAATGATAAAATAAATCTCTTAGACTGGTTGGAATATTTGTATGAACCTATTTTTCCAATATACAGTAAAATATCACTTTGTATTGCCTAAAATTTCATTTTTAGATTTCAGGTTTTTGTTTCTGTTTTCTCTCTGCTGGGGACTGAACTCAGGGCCTCAAGCTTGCTAGGCAGGCACTCTTACCACTGAACCATTCCTCCAGCCCTATATTTTACTTATAGAAACACTAAAAAACTTTTAAACAAGAGTTGAGCTATAGTAAATCTGCTAATACATAGTACTCTATTATAGCACTATTATATTTGCTAGGTACTGTATAGTATGTCTCTTAATTGAAGAACTCAATAATGAGAAAATGTGTGTGTGTGTGTGTGTGTGTGTGTGTCTGTGTCTGTGTCTGTGTCTGTGTCTGTGTCTGTGTACACACCAGTCCTGGGGCTTGAACTCAAAGCTTGGACACTGACCTCTCCAGAGCTTTTTGCTTAAGGATAGTGCTCTCCACTTCTGACTTTTTGGGAGTTCATTGGCGATAAGAGTCCCACCGACTTTCCTGCCTGATTAACTTCAAACTGTGATCCTCAGATCTCAGCTTCCTGAGTATCTAGAATTACAGGTGTGACCGACCACTGATGCCTGGCCAGAAAAATCTTAATTTTTATCAATTATTAAAGTTGTGTTTTTCCCCCTCGGCTTTCACTTTTAAAAATATGGTAACAATATTTTAGTCAGGCATTGTTAAAGTGAGATTTTACTATATTTTCACAATTCTGTCCATTTGGACTGGGGTACAAGTAACTGTTCTGTTTTCACTGTGTTTTGGGGGAAGGGGAGCGTGAACTTGACTCGAGTTTACTGCATGTAAGTAATGTCATAGTGGAAACCTGCCTGGAGTAACCTCTTCACTGAGACCATGCTGTGATGGTACTTGGTGTGCAGTGGGGTTTGAGTATATTCAAGATGGACCTGTATGAGAGTCCATGGAATTGAATGAGTGCCAAGAGAATCCAGAATGAAATGACCTCCGAGGGTCAGGATCCACCCCTAGACTTCTGCCGTACAGAGTCGTGGTGATGTGCTGGTGTTGGCTTTAAATTAGAACAATGCAGACACTTATTCTCACTTTCTTATTGTAGGCTCCCAGCAGTCTTATGGAGACCCTTGAACAGCATCTAAATACATTAGAAGGAAAGAAACCCGGAAACAAGTACGCATTAGTTGTATATTCTAAGTAAGATAAGAAAAACTCAGGTTGCTGCTAGTCATGAGACTTGTCATGTACAGCTTACGCTTCTGCAGTTTCTGTGTGCGTGTTGTTGTCACTCTAAGGGGTTCCCTGGGGACCCCCTGAGCTGCCTGTCCAGTTACAACAGACTAAATGAGCTCACACACCTGCAGGTAATGCAGCAAATCAGTCATGTTCTTGCCTTGAGTGAACCTGTTCATACACGTATTGCCCATGAGAAGGAATTCATAAAGCAAAGAGAAAAGAGTTGTTCAGACTTAAAATTAAAACTGCTATGGTTGGTGGTGATTTATAAAAGCAACAATAATTTCACAAGTCTCCTTTCACCAGCCTCAGTGGGGTTAAGAGCAAAGACCTCAAGTGCTTTCTAGAGTCCAGTTTCTCCTTCCTTGAACCCTGAGCTGCGGCCTGCTGCTGACCTCCTACTCAGAGATCTCTTCCAGGGAGTGGCACCAAAGCAGGGCTAAGTTGCATATTGCTGGATTTTTTTTTCCCCTTTGGGAACTTGTATTTTGACCATTTTCCTTCACTGCCTGCAGAAAATGTCCAAGTTCTATACTTTTCCATCTCCCCAGTAGAAGTAAAGCTTGAGGCTTCCCAGTCTTGGTGTCTTGTTCACACTTTGCTTCTGCTGACCTTGGGCCTGACCTTGTTCTGTGTCCTGGCAGAGGCCATGTCTGGCTTGTCTGGCTCTTCCTTCTTCTTTCCATCTTGAATCAGGAACTTTTTTTTTTTTTTTTTTTGCCTTGGAAACTTTCAGGACTTTTTCTGGTTCCAAAGGTCAGGACCTAGTTTATACTTCATCTCAACGTGGACCGTAGCTTTTTCTGCAGTCAGTTGGAATGTGTTGTTGATGAGACCATGGCAGCTGCATGAACTGGGGGTCGGTCCTGACCCCACGTTGGATCATGACAGCTCTGTCAACTTGGGACTTCTTCCAGGCCCTTCTTTAGAGCTTTTTCTTATCATTTCCCTGTTCCTTTTTTTTATTGTTTTTTCCTTAGGTAAATGTTATCTCTGTTGTTTTTTTTTCCAAGTTGGCATGTTTCAGTGAGAGAGCAGTGGGGACGGATCTGTTGCAGGCAGGGATGGCAGAGCTGCTTGGAGGGGTGGCTGGCAGGATCTCTCCAGGGTGCTGCCCAGCTTGTTACCCAACACAGCCCGGGATCTGCTCCTCATTTGGGGGTGGATGTGGATGGTCAGGTCATTGACGTGAAAATACATGAAATCACAATAGAATTCAATTGGCAGCTGCCCAATGCCAATTCTTTTGGGGCCCACCTTCTTGCGGGGTATCTAGGAAGCTATATGAGTTGCTTATACAAGTGGAGGCAGAAAGCTGAAAAACATCCTTGCTCCAGTGGTTAAAGTTCAGGAACTATGCAACAGCCCCTAGAAGCAGTCACCGCCTTCAGAGCGCCACACTGTTCCCCTCCCCCCCCACGGGGTCCCCTGTACTCCAGGCAGGTCCAAAATGAACCCTGGCTTCTTATCAAAGCTGCCCTTCAGCAGCCAAAGGCTAAATCAACCCCTTCCTAGCTGGCTTCTGTCCTCAGCCCCAACTCAAAAAAAAAAAAAAATCTCCATTCGCCCCCTTGTGGCTATTGCGAGGTGTTTCTAGAAAAATTATCCATCCACATTTAAATTTAGTTGCATTTCTGGAGAAACAGAACAGAAATTCAGTAGCTTTTTCGTATAAATTATCTTCTTCTTAGAGTAATTTTTTCTCTCCTTTAAAACCATTTTATTTATCTTCTGATATGGCTGAAACCACATTTGAATTTGGCTTTTGCTACTCCCTGTTTCAAAAATATCTGAGCAAGCTAGGTGCTGTGGCTCATGTCTGTGATGCTGGCCACTCAGGAGGCTGAGATCTGAGTATCAAGATTCCAAGCTGGCCTGGACAGAAAAGTCCATAAGACTCTTATCACCAATAAACTACTTTTTAAAAAAGCCAAAAATGGAGCTATGGTTCAAGTGGTAGAGTGTTAGCCTTGAGCAAAAGAAGCTCAGGGACAGTGCCCAGGCCCAGCACACACACACACATGCAAAATGTGTATATATGGGTATGGATATATACCTAGAAAGATGCGCTATAGTAGTTAACTATTTTTTTCTCTGTATATTTGTGCTTACCTGGGAACTTAAGTGAAGGGTGAGTACTATGTTGAGTAATTACTAAAAATGCAACAGGAACACCTGTTAGTATCCCACATTTGGTATTTAAACATTTTTGTTCGTGTGTATCTGTTTTAACATTACACTTTATTTTTGTCTCCTAAAGTGACTGGCATAAATAGTTTTATTTTCTTTGGTCTTCTCAGATCACAACTAATGAGCTATTTTAGGATAAACATTCCTCTGGATCTTAGAATTCAAAGATTTTTCGTCTGTCAAGTGAGCAGAAAGATGTCCCTGTGAGATAACAGAAGTGTTAACAGGCAGCTTTCTAAAGAAAATTATTTGCAGTTGTCCTTTGTCAGCCAGTAGCATTATAACATTAATCGAGCCTCTATTTACATATAGAATGAAGCATTTGCAAATATCGGCTATGGAAAGCATGTACATTCTTTAGTACTGGTGTCCAGGATGGTTACATTTTAAATTGTATGCAATGCTACATGACAAACCTTGTATATTGTCTATTTCTGTGGTTTCACAAGGTGAAAGACCAATTTATTTTATTCTGTATGTGGGTATTCTTAAGTGCATCTTGAGAGTATAGGAAACCCAAAATAAGTCATTTGTATTAAAATTATTTAGAAGTTAGACAATTTTTTTACCTATCTATTTTTTCTGGCTATCATTTATACTTAAAACTATGATTATTGTTTTGAATCAAATAAGAAATAACAAAATTTCCTCTTTTGACAGCTGACAGGTACCATATTAAAAGAAAAATTACCATTTGCTATGATCATAGCAAAAATAAAAAAAATCCGTGGATCTGTGCTGTGGCTTGTTATAGAATTTAGAGTAGATTGCCGGACGTAAACATTTTGTAGAGTTTTTCTAGTGCAACTAGTTTTCTCTAGGCAAAATTCTAACTAGAAGTATTGTCTATATATAAAATATCATAGTCTTTTCTTTCATAAAGGACAATGACCAGGGCTGGGAAGGTGGCTCAGGGGTAGAGCGCTTGCCTTGCATGCATGAGGCCCTGGGTTTGATTCCTCAGCACCACATAAGCAGAACAAGCCAGAAGCGGTGCTGTGGCTCAAGTGGTAGAGCGCTAGCCTTGAGCTGAAGGGTTGGGGACAGCACCCAGGCCCAGAGTTCAAGCCCCATGACCAAAAAAAAAAAAAAGACCAACAGTAAGACAGAAAATTAAGCAAGAAACATGTAAGAAACAACCATCTATGTGTTGTGTAAAAGAGAAATGAATAAATGTTCTAGGCACCTGGTGTTTTCAGTGGGTCAGGCTAGACTGGGCAGCAGACAGACTTGAGCAGTCCTGAAGTCACCAGGAAGCAATAATACAACTTGGGCAAGGTGTCCACCTCTCTGACCTATGAGCAGTGCCCTCGATTTCAATCCATGGTTAGTGGTGCTCTCTAAAGCGATAGTCCCTAATATAAATCACGACAAAGACCAGATCTGTTCCCTGGAAACAGAGGTCTTGACAGCTTTTAGTTGAAGAGAAAGTAGTTTATTAAGACTAATGGTTAGTGTGTTGCCTTCAAAATGACATTTATATACACTCACTTAAAATTTCAAATAATACAAGAATAATAGAGAAAATGCCTAGAGCTATATAAAGTGCTAGGGTAATAAAACAAAGGGATGAAGCCAGGTGTTGGTGGCTCATGCCTGTAATCCAAGCTACTCCACAGGCTGAAATCTAAAGATCGCTGTTCAAAGCCAGCCTCCCAAAAAACTGGAAGTAGAGCTATGGCTCCAGTGGTAGAGCACTAGCCTTGAGCAGACTACCTAAGGCCCTGCATTCAAGCCCCAGTGCTGGCACAGAAAGAGGGAAGGAGGGATGAATTTCTTCCTTAGTATCCAGTTGTGAAGGCAGGTAGTAAGCCAGACAGTCAGAATGCAGTAAGTGGACAATAGCTCAACCACAATGGTAGGAGATTTGCTTGTGTCTACTTGTCCCCTGAGATTACTATAAATATCATTTAGTTTTAGCACTCTTGAAGAAGTTGGCAAATTAATTGCTGTGTCAATTATGACTTTTTATACACTGCTCTGTATTCTTTTATAGCAGGATAGCTCAGTGCTGTTGGTTTTACCATGCTTTATTCTTGCTATAGGATAGAAAATACATCAAAATATGTTTTGGAAGTGCTTACTTTTTCTCAATTATCTTTCTCAATTCTTTGTTTCTCATTGTTCTCATATGGCAAAGAATTGATTTCTGAAACTTACTCGAGAAATTGATTGATTGTAACAATGGTTTTCATGATTTGTTGGTCTTGCTTTTTGACGAGATTAGGTTATTATTTTCTTGGGTTTTTATCTTAACTTAGCTCTCCATTCCATAAATGAAAAGGAAAAATGACAGAAGAAATTGTTAGCCAAAACCTCATACAAGAATTTTCAACTTCGTTCAGTACTTGATTTTTAGGTTCTTATTTTTCTGCCAATACAGAGAATACGAAATTCCTTTTTCTCAGTAGTAAATCCTTGCAAATGAGCAGTTAAATAGAAACATGTGCCTCCTATTGAACCACATTGTAATGACTTCCTGCTGACTTTGATTTGCTACTGCTACAGAGAGGAATGGAAACCCATTTTGCTCATTGTTTCATTATTCATTGTTCCACCAACTCAAAGGCACAAAATGTAAACTGTTCAGGTCAAGCATTTGGGAGACATATGCAAAGCATTTTAACGTCTGATGATGTCCTATCAAACTGAAGTGCTTCTGCAAGGGATGGATGGAAACTTGGCTCAGATGTTCTCATCTTGTCTTTTAGGTCTGGTGCTCCCTCTCCATTAAGTAAGGTAAGTTTGTTTTCTGTTGGATTTTTTTTAACTGTCTTTGAATACAGATCAGTGGCATCAAGTATATCCGTATTGCTGTATATGAAATCATCACACCATGCCTTTCCAGAACTTTCCATCTTCCGAAAAATGGAAGTCCATGCTCCTCAACAGTAGTTTCCCATTCCTGGCTTCCAGTCCTGACAAACCCCAAATTACTTTTTGTCCTTAAGATTTGATTATTCTAGGTGCCTCACATAAGCAGACTCAAACAGCATCTCTCCTTTTGTGATTTTACTCAATGCATCTCCAAGGGCCAGCGGTATTGTGGCACTGTCCCAGGTCACCTTCCTGGACCATAGTTCCCAAGTCCTTCTGCCTTCCCCACACACACACTTCATTGTTTTCCACCTTTTGTGCTCTAAGCATGAGTGGGAAACGGATCTGTTTTAGACCCTCCCTTCAATTCTTTGGTCTTTATACAAAGAAGTAGAATTGCTGGGTCGTATAAGTTAAATTTTCAGAGAAAAGGTGAGTTACATTTTTATGTATTAGTTCCTCAGTCCATTGGAGCTTATTAGATGTCTTCTAGGCCTCCGTTGGACTTGTTTCTAAAGTAGGAAACATTTTTTGTGCCTTCATATTTACAAATAAAAACAAGTATATCAGTATATCAAAGTTTATCAGTATATCAAAACCTTTCACATATGCAGAGTCACAACCCATGAGAAAGGTCAGACACAAGATCTTGTGGTTGCATTGAGGGAGAAGAAACTGTTAACTAGGCACATTTCCTTTATTTATTTATTTTTTTGGGGGGGGGGTCCAGTCGTGGGGCCTGAACTCTGGGCCTGGGCGCTGTCCCTCAGCTCTTCAGCTCAAGGCTAGCGCTCTACCACTTGAGCCACAGCACCACTTCTGGCTTTTTTCTTTTTGCTTATGTGGTGCTGAGGAATCGAACCCAGGGCTTCATGCATGCAAGGCAAGCGCTCTACCACTGAGCCACCTTCCCAGCCCATGTGTCCTTTTAGAAGCCTGCCTGCTAGATCTGCTAGAATAATCGGAATCTTTTTTGTTTTTTTAAACTTCCATGTCTCTTTTGAGACACTCTGAGGATGGATTGGGCTGTGAGTGAGAGAACATTGCCTTCCATAGATCCGTCATTCACATCTGCCATTGTATTTTCCAGGCAATTATGGGCCAGGTGTGTTTCTTCCTCATGTGATCGCAGGTGTCACTACAGAGGGTGGTGACAACAGGGCCGGTGACTCTCAGGCATTGCCGGCTGTGCCAGGGCCTGGCTGCACTGCCTGCCTACGAGTCCCACAGGAGTCAGCCCCACAGAACTCCCTCATGAAGCTCAATAAACAAATATGCAGAAAGCTTTCTGCCTGTTCTGAGAGAAAGCCACACCTGAAATCATTAATGGGTGTGCTCTGGGCTCATCTGCTTCCACCTTCTGGCCGAAGAAAGTGCTGCTGATGTTTTCTTTTTACATTATTAGGGTTACTTGTCTTCTGTTTTCCTAGCTCTTGTGTCTCCTCAGAGATTTCGTGGCATTTGAAAGGGCTTTTATAGACTGGCATGTCTGTGTTTATGTTGGTGGTGATCTTTGCCATTGAAGTCTCAGTGTGGTTTTATACCGTCACTACTTCTGGATTTATTTAGATATATTGGTTAGGAATAAAAGTCATTTTTGGAGGACTTGCTCATGGCTACAATGGGTAATGTACAGGTGACTTCAGCTAGTTTTTTTTTCAATTCTGTATTCCATTTGGATCTGAACTTTTGTTGACGAGAGAGGCAATTTCCTGAGCAATCATATTCAAACTGTTCATGGGTTTGTCTTGAAACACTGAGTGCTTAATAATTGCCTATCTGTTGAATTTTTACTTCTTGATTTGTTATACTCATGGATGAGTAAACAGACAAATACTATGGAATTTGAAAGTTTCCATACATTTTTTTCTTTAACCTCTTCTTTAAAATTATTTGTTTAAAACTCCTTTAAAAGCCAGGTGCCGATGGCTCATACCTGTAATCCTAGTTACTCAGAGGCCAAGATACAAGGATCGAAGTTCAAAGCCAGCCAGAGCAGGAAAGTCCATGAGACTGTTATCTTCATTTGACCACCAAAAACCAGAAGTGGAGCTGTGGCTCAATTAGTAGTGTACTAGCACTAAGTAAAAGAAGCTCAGGGATAGCATCCAGGTCCTAAGTTCAAGCCACAGGACTGACACAAGAAAAACAACAACAACAACAAAACTTCCTTTAAATCTGTTTTGTTGGAAATCACATGTCTAATTAGGGTGGCAACTGATAGCCTTTCCTAGTTACTCTAGTTACTGTTGTATCTTTCTTGTTATAGCTCATTTCCCCTAATAGACCCTAACCACAAGTATACTGTTTTGAAATGTTCCAGTAATATTTCTCTTCTAATTACATGGCAAATTAAATGTAGTCTGTAAAATAGAATTTGGATGCATACTACACAAAATTTATAGTTTGTTAATGTATTAGTTGAACATAAACTTTTAAAAATTGGGGGAGAGCCGGGTGCCAGTGGCTCACATCTGTAATCCAAGCTACTCAGCAGGCTGAGATCTGAGGATTGCATTTCTAAACTAGCCTGGGCAGACATATCAAGGGAGTCTCATCTCCAATGAACCATCAAAAAGCTGGCAGTGGAGGTATGGATTATGTGGTAAGGTGACAGCCTTGGACGGAAAAAGCTACGCAAGAATACAAGGCCCTGAGTTTAAGACCCAAGACTGGCACCAAAAAAAAAAAAGAAAAGAAAAGAGACAATTCCAGAAAAACAAGGTTTAAGTTTTATTTCATTAATTATGTTTTCCCCACTCTTAGCAGGGATTAGATATAGACACAGTATCTTCAAGCTGCCGTCTAGTAAGACTTTCCCTGAAGTCTAGTTAGGACGAAAAGTGAGGAAATGGCCCTGATTTTATAGCAGTTTTTATAGGTGATCATTTTCGGCAGCTAGAAAGATCTTCCCCAGTCATTTAAAATTCACGAAGTACATACAGTTAGCTTTCATTCTAAGAGAATGCAAGTCGTTGCAACACTGGGCCAAATGCATTCTCAGGTTTTTGTGTAAAACCCGAGGCAGGCTTTGTCCAACAAGGATGATTCACTACAGTTCTTAGTACTGTCCCTTGGCTTTTTTGCTCAAGGCAAGTACTGCACCACTTGAGCCACAGCTGCACTTCCAGCTTTTTGGTGGTTAATTGGTGATCAGAAGTCTCCCAGACTTCTCCTGCTTGGGCTGGCTTTGAACCGCCATCCTCAGATGAACTCAGCTTCTTGAGCATCTAGGATTCCAGGCGTGAGCCACTGGTGCCGGGAGAATCATTGGTCTGCAAAGCAAAAGTGCTGCTCCTCTGTGCCCTATAGCCTGCGATCTGCCGTGATCACGTGTGTGCATCTTCTCTTACAGTCCTCCCCAGTCACCACTGCCACGTCGCCTAACTCCACACCAGCTAAAACCATCGACACGTCCCCGCCCGTCGATTTATTTGCAACGGCATCTGCGGCTGTGCCGGTCAGGTTAGTCTGTTATCTGTGGCCGTCAGCTGTCAGCTGTCTGTTACTGTATGTGGGGCAGGCTTGGGGTTTACTGCTAGGGTCTGCACACAGAGGTTTTCTTCAGATGAACTCTGGTTCTAATCAGACTGATTGAGGCGGAATCATTTTTTTGCTCCACAAAGGTAAGTTCTTTGACCCACTGGATCATGAGAACGCCCCGGCCTGTGGGAAAGGCCTTCCCGTGCACACATTGAGCCCCGTGGAAGGATGGCGCTCTTCTGATTGGCTGACTTGGACATTTTCTACTAAACTCTTCGCTTGGGACATGTCAAGGTGTTTTGAAAGGCTTTCAGAGCAAACAGACTTTGTGCTGTAGGTGGATGTGCTGGTGTGCTCAAGGAACTCGAACTCTGGCGGCTGGAAGAGGCCTTTGGGGGTGTTTTTAGGCCACTTTTAGAGTATCTCTCCACGAGGGCTGTTTGGAGGAAGGTGGGGACAGAGGGCTCTGCAAACCTCCCAGGATTGCTAGGAAGGGTGAGGACTCCCTGGGGTTCTTTGCCTTCAGAGGAGTCTGGCCTCTCTTTCTGTGATCTGTGACTCTGTTTATGAAAGCCTTTGTTTAGAGATGTGGATCTTGAACTGTGAGAGAAAGCCATGTGTGTGTGTACTGCTCATGGAGTGCTTTGGTCGCCGTTCATAGAGCCAGCATCACAACAGCCAGCCCAGGCTGGAGATGAGCCCAGGGCTTCGTGGCCGACAGGCAAGCATGCCACTACTAAGCTGTACCTCCAGCCCCTGACTCAACTAATACTCTTGACAATAAATATGCCCTCTTTTCTGTTCCTCCATCCACCTATGGTTATGAAAAGGACATCGAAACCAGGCAGTCACTTTCAGGGGTTTTGAAATGGCTTTTGAAAGTAGCAGTGTCTTTTCTTCAAAAGTGTGTTACTTGGCGATCCAGGAACCAGAGGCTCATGCCTGTAATCCTAGGTACTCAGGAGGCTGAGATCTGGAGGACTGTGATTTGAAGCCTGCCAGGGCAGAGAAGTGCATGAGACGTCATCTCTAAAATAAGCCAAAAGAGTCTTAAACTCCCACTTCCTGCTAGGGGAGCAGGAAATGTTGCTGTCTGCCATTTCTCCCTATTTAATTCTTGCTTTATGAAAATGATTGCTTACTAAAACTTTTTAAAGTAAAATAACCCACAAAAACCGGGGCTGTAGTATGGCTTGTGTGGTAGTGTACCCATCTAACAAGCATGAGGCCCTGAGTTCAAACCCCAAGACTGTATCACTCAGAAATAATACGTATTTAAAAGAAGATAAAGTGGCTTCTTATGAAGACAAATGGAGAGCTGGAGGCTCTATAATTGAGTGCCTCATGTGGTAAGCTCCACTCCGAGTTCATCTGTGAATTCAGTGAGGGTCCTGTTAAACGAAGACTTTGCTGTGGTAGCATGAGAATAAGCCTGCCATCCCACGTTTCTAAGAAGGAGCATGGACACAGAGAGCATGGAGCCCATATTCTAAGCAGGGAAACTTGGGCTTCTCTTTGGGACCTATGCAGATAAACAAGCTTTGATCAGCACACCCACAGCTGAGAAAGAAACTGCAGCAGTCATTTTAGATGGGTCCTCTCACAGGCAAACTTGATGTCATTAGTATGATTAGGAAAAGGGTAAGATAGCAATTATTTAGTATTCTATGGTCCATAATGTTTTTTCCTACACACACACAAAAATAGTTCGAAAATGAAGAAAAGATAACCTGAAGGTTACGATGCTCATTTTCCTATAGAAGATGGCCCAGGGTTTAAATCCGGCTCACTCTCTGCTTTCGTCCCTGATGTTTTGCTGGAGTGAAGGCGCCCTCCCCCAGGAGCGCCAGCCCTGCTGTATGCTATGCTGCTGTACTTCCCAAAACACTAGTCTTCCATGAGACTTGAGATCTTGTCTGTGTACGCCTTGTCAAACAGTTTTACGCTGTTTCCACCTCTGATTCTGACGTTCCCTTCTGCTCAGTGCTTCAAAGCCATCGAGTGATCTCCTGGACCTCCAGCCAGCCTTCTCTTCCGGAGGAGCAGCGGCTGCAGCCCCTGCAGCGCCACCGGCCGGCGGAGCCACGGCCTGGGGAGGTAAGTGGAGTTGGCCCTTACTCCACCAGTTCTCCTCTGGCTAGTGAGGCTGCTGCTTTCCTCTAAGCTGTCATGGTTGTATTTACCTTCTGGTTATTCCTCCCACCCCCCATGCTGTTAGAAAATGTGTAGAGAAAATACTGAGAATGGCATTTCCTGATTGAAATATATACTGCAGGTCACGGGAGGCAGAGAATCTAGAGGACAGCTTCATGTTCAGGTAGTTAATTGTTCTTACTTCAAAAGTTGGAAGAAAGGAAGTCTTTGCCTTGGTGATTCTAAACTTGCAGTGATGTTTGCAGTATGCCTCTGGACATTCACATCTACAACGTTGCATATTCCCGTGACTTTGTGAAGTGCTTAGAGATAGTACGTCTGATTTGATCTTGTCCGGGGTGACTCCTGGACCCATGTAGGCTGGGCTGGGCTTTATCCACTGTGTTTGACTTCAGACAGTTCAAGTTACTTCCTGCTGCATTGATTAAGTGAGAGGAATCATGTCTGACTGCTTGATTCCCGTCTGATTCACGGATCTCAGAAAAATCAACCTCCTCTAGGTATTCAATGAAAATGCTTAATACTAGCATAAAATTAATTACTGCATAAGTCTGGGAATTGCATGGCACTATTTTTAATACTAGGCCCCATGGCAGTGAACTATCAGGATAACATTTTCAGAAAGGCTAAGGCATGAAGCACACAACTATAAAAGCAAGATAGGTAAAAGACTTAGTAGCCAGTCATACAGTAAAGCTGGTTTAGAGTATTCTGAGGGATTTACTATATTTACAGGAACTTGAAAAGGAAAGAAGATGGCCAGGTTAGATTCAAAACTGTTATAAGGAAAAAAAAACCATTGAGGATTTGTTTTTCACCTACCAGTATTACCCATCCCTAGCAGATAATAAGATCTGATTTAATATATCCTTTATTTGTATTATATTTCATATTATTTATTAGCAATAAATAACAAAATCCAATGCAGTTACCTTGCCCAAAATAATTAAATCATCCCTGGCTGGGTTTATTACAAGCGCACCAACATAAGATCTAGAGTCCACTCTGGTCGGGAGCTTGCTTTCTAGAAATTTCAGAGGCTGTTGCTCCAGGTGACTAAATGATGGCAAAGCCCCGGGGCCAGAGATCACCGCCCTGCTGCTGGTGCTTTGGGGTTCTGTGTGGAGCTGTGCCTAGCAGCTAGGACTGCTAGGCATAGAAACACAAAGGGCACCCACTGTCCCTCTGCTGGGCTTACCCTGTCCTTCCTGAGCCCGTCCTGTGCTGTGGGTCTCTTAATGCCATCAAGGGGAAAGGGATCTGGGAGGTGGACATGAATACAGAAATGCTGCTGTTTTATTTGGTGCTTTTATTTTTTTTTGTCATGTTGGCCCTCCCCATGGCTGGAAAAGTCCTGGGAAAGAGAGAGAGCTGGGAAAGAGAGAGAGCTGGGAAAGAGAGAGAGCTGGGAAAGAGAAGAGAGCTGGGAAAGAGAAGAGAGCTGGGAAAGAGAAGAGAAGGAAAGAGAAAGAGCTGGGAAAGAGAGAGAGCTGGGAAAGAGAAAGAGCTGGGAAAGAGAGAGCTGGGAAAGAGAAGAGAGCTGGGAAAGAGAAGAGAGCTGGGAAAGAGAAAGAGAGAGCTGGGAAAGAGAAGAGAAGGAAAGAGAAAGAGAGAGCTGAGAAAGAGAAGAGAGCTGGGAAAGAGAAGAGAGCTGGGAAAGAGAGAGCTGGGAAAAAGAAGAGAGCTGGGAAAGAGAAGAGAATGAAAGAGAGAGCTTGGAAAGAGAGAGCTGGGAAAGAGAAGAGAAGGAAAGAGAAAGAGAGAGAGCTGGGAAAGAGAAGAGCTGGGAAAGAGAGCTGGGAAAGAGAAAGAGAAGGAAAGAGAAAGAGAGAGCTGGGAAAGAGAAGAGAGCTGGGAAAGAGAAAGAGAAGGAAAGAGAAAGAGAGAGCTGGGAAAGAGAAAGAGAAGGAAAGAGAAAGAGAGAGCTGGGAAAGAGAAAGAGAAGGAAAGAGAAAGAGAGAGCTGGGAAAGAGAAGAGAGCTGGGAAAGAGAAGGAAAGAGAAAGAGAGAGCTGGGAAAGAGAGAGCTGGGAAAGAGAGAGAGCTGGGAAAGAGAAGAGAAGGAAAGAGAGAGAGAGCTGGGAAAGAGAAAGAAAGAGAAAGAGAGAGCTGAGAAAGAGAAGAGAGCTGGGAAAGAGAAGACAGCTGGGAAAGAGAGAACTGGGAAAGAGAAGAGAAGGAAAGAGAAAGAGAGAGCTGGGAAAGAGAGAGAGCTGGGAAAGAGAAGAGACGGAAAGAGAGAGAGCTGGGAAAGAAAAGAGAGAGCTGGGAAAGAGAAGAGAAGGAAAGAGCTGAGAAAGTGGCTTTTTCTTTACTTCCAACTTTTATATTCTGGAATCTCAAAATTTACGAGGAGATAAGTGTATGAACAAGAAACTACTTCAAACTGAAATGTAGGAGAGATAAAGATAAATAAGGCAAATATAAATCGGTTAGAATAGTTTTTAAAAAGTGCATTCTATAATTTCTTGATCTTGTTTTCAAGATTTTTATTAAAAAAATAACAGAAAAGTAGTTAAGAAAAAAGTGTAATTATAAACCCAAATTTTTTAATGTTGGCTTATTTCCATTTTGTGCATTTAGGCCTTCTCCTCTATTGAGATGTTCAATTTCTAAAGCTGTGATAGCTATCAATTTTTAAACAAAATTATTCTTACTGTAATTTAATTTTATTAAATTTTAATTAAGGAAAACATTGCTGAAGAGGTTTTATCAGGGTATGCAATCTGTTATCCTGAGCTTTATCTTTTAAATAGTTTGTTTCAATTTGCTGCCAATTTATTTTCATAATGAGTGCCTTACTGTTTAAGTGTTTTTCAATCCACATCCTTAAATTTTCTCCGCCATGAAACTCATATACAAGGCTTTAATAAAACTTTAATAAAAACTTTAATAAAACTTTAATAATACATTTGTTAGTCTCCACAAAAGACGGATTGGCCATCTACAAAAGGGTTACTTTTCTTTATTTCAACCATTCTGGAGGTACTTTTCTGTTTTCTAAACTGCCCACTAGAGGGGGCACTTTTTTCCTAGTTGCTGTGGAACTGCTATGCTGAGAGCACAGAGGCTTTGGACTTCTGTCTCAACAAATATCTAGAATCAGAGTCACAGCACAATGGAAAAGGTAATGGGAAAGTTCTCTCATTGCTAAATAAATGATCAAACTTTATAAGCCTTAAGAAATTGAAGTTGCTTCTAAACTGAAATGGAAAAGTACTCCCCTTTTTAGTTTTTATATTTTAGAACATATGCCTAACAAATAGCAGGTAAGAAGGGAATAAAAACAAAACTGTGAGGCCTGTGTTGATTTGGAAGTAGTTAGTTTTCTGCTGTTAGTATAGCTTAATGAATGTAATTGTTTTCGATATCAGAGTTGGGTTTCTTGGTCTTTTAAATGCCTTCTGAAATTTTGGTTGCCTTGGTTCTCGCATTGTGTTTAAGACCCTGAAAACATAGGGCGCCCCCCCCCATGAATTCCAATGGCATTTGCTGATGCATTTAGGAGCCCGGGGGGAGGGGGGGTTGCACACCAGGCCTGAGTGTACCTAAGAATGCCGCTCCGAGGCGTTTTGAAGATGCTGACTGTAGTCCTTTAAAATGATCCTGGTAAGGCTGAAGGTGATGGCTCAAGACTCTAATGCTTTGAGAGATGGAGGTTTGGAGGACTAGAGTTCGTGGCCCAATAGGAAGCTCAGGGTCCAGGCCAGACCAGACAACAGCACAAGACCCTCAAATTATCTAGAGCAAAACAGGCTAGGGGTATGGCTCAGTGGTAGAGAGCCTGCTTGGGAAGTCTGAGGCCAAGTTCAACTCCCAGTACCATATAATAATAGCAATAGTAATAATGATCATTTTTATATGATCATTATGCTTCTAAGTATTAAGATTATACATTACATTGAAAAATACCTGCTAATGAGAAACTTAATGAAACAGAAAATAGTTTAGAGCTATTTTTTTTCCTGATACCTACACCTGTGTTCTATTTTGGTTTTTTTTAACTATATTTGGTACGTTCTATTTTCTAAACTGCAGTTACACGTGCAGCCTCTGTTATTCACTGGTATTCCAGGTATAAGTGACCGGTCAAATAAAGAGAATCAGGGAGGCTCAGCTAACTCTCCTCTCTTGGGAATTGATGTAGTGTAGCAGAAGCAGTCAGAGCAGATGAAATGGTCAGGCTATTAGCAAACACATTGACGTCACGGTGGTTTAGGCCGGGCTTCAGGTAAGTCTGTGGACTTCCCTGTCCTCAGTTTGCACACCTGTAACACTGGAACTTTGATCTGGAGACAAAGGCCCCTTCCAACTTGGCAGTGTCATCCTACCAGTGGGTGGGGTGTTGGTGTTTTAATCACAAATGGCCTGGAAAGGAAACACAAAGCTAAAGTTCCTTCTGTGGGTGCCTCCCCTGCTTGAATGAGTGTCTCAGCTCTAGCTCTTCTTTCTCCCTATGCTGCCCGCTGGACATTGGCAGACCTTTTGGGAGAGGGTGAGTATCCCTGTACGTTTTCTCATGAGAACTGTCTGCATCTTCAGAACTGTCCTCGTCTACACTTTCTGAGTCTGGGTATCTTCTGTCCTTTCCCTTCTCTTCCCCTTTGCTCTCTGTCTCTGATGCACTGCAGATTCTTTGGCTGGGCTGTCCTCTGTCCCCTCCGAAGCACAGATTTCAGACCCCTTCGCTCCAGAGCCCACCCCTTCCACCACGACTGCAGAAGCAGCCCCGGCCTCCGCCCCAGCCGCCACCACCCCTGCGGTGCCGGTGGCCTCCTCGGACGTGGATCTCTTCGGAGGTTAGTGTCCTTGTGGCGCGCAGACATCCCCGGCAGAGAGGCATTCCACTCTGGCCATTTGGCCGTGCACAGGGACCTCCTTGGGTTCCACGCCACACACACGTCTTGCTAACCTGGTCAGCCTACCTCTGCTTCCTCCACCCCCGGGGATCTGACATGAAGGGCTTGGCTGCTTCCAGATCTCCTTGCACTCCCGGAGAAAATATGCAGACTGGCAGAGGCATCCTGGCCTCAATCATGTCCAAACACTCAGGGCAAAAGCCCCAGGTCCTCTAGACAGCAGCCTTCCTGGGGAATGGGCTGAGGTTGTCCATCTCCGTGGCGTTTAGCTTGCTCCTGCCATGGAAATAGTTGGGCCCTTCTGCCCTGGGAACTGGGAAAGAGCATCCACAGCTGCCTGTGCAGTGTGGAGTGCACACAGGTTGAGGTCAGTCTCTGAGACACCACATCAAATGCCTGGGCCTAGGGAGACAGCTGAAGCCCGCTCATCCAGCCAAGGGTGGAGCTGGGCTCCCAGCCTTGAGGCATGCTCATGTCAGGGACAGGCATCAGGTGTGCTGTGATAATCCATATAGCTTTGGGTTTCCTCATTACCATGTCATCTCTTTTCCAGAGCCTCTAGGAGAGAAATGGGAAGCAGCTGGGATGGCGAGGGCAGGGAAGGTTTAGGGGGCCCGGGTGGAGTGCCTGTCTTTCCCTGGAATGCATTGTACAATCCCTCTGAGGTTGTGGAAGACAAGTAGCACCGGGCTTGCAGCAGAGAACAGGCTTGCCCTGGTGGCTTCAGTGGAGTCTGCCGCAGCTGGCTGGGGAAGGAGTGGCACTGGGTGCGTCTGCAGGGCTCAGCACAATGTTTATCTCCGTACACACAGAGTTCAGCCTCCAGCAGCTTCACGTTCTGGAGTCTGTTTTGTAGTTTTCCATGATTTCCCCTAATTTATTAGAAATCATTTTGAGATTTGCCTTTAAACAGAAACCTACCCTTAAATCATTTGGACCCTCTTGCATGGCCATTTTGAGAAATATTTTTTCTCCCTAATATGGGCAAGTGGCTGACCCCAGCTGCGTGCTAGCTGCATAACTTTAGAAGTTGTGTGGATTCGTTTAGGAAGAAGTGTGATGAATTTCAATTTCATGGAAATAGTTGTTTCATTTGAATATGAAATATTAAAACCTTGACTTTTTCTAAGTCATTACTGTAGCAGAACTGTAAATTTGGGAAATTGAAAAGACCCATTATTTTTAACATTTTTTAACATTCAGATTTATATTCACATACATTTTCCAGTCATTTCAATGGAAATGGCTTATTGAAGGCATTAAGAACTCTTTCACATGCCTGTAATCCTAGCTCCTGAGGATCTGAAATCTAAGAATTGTGGTTCAAAGCTAGCCAGGGGAGGAACGTCCATGAGACTCTAATCTCCAATGAACCACCAGAAAACCAGAAGTGACACTGTGGCTCAAAGTGGTAGAGCAATAGCTTTGAGCAAAAAGAGCTCAGGGACAGTGCCCAGGCTCTGAGTTCAAGCCCCACAACTGACATAAAAAATACATTTTTAAGGACTTCTCAAATATATCACACTAATATCGCTGCTTCATTTTTTAGACAAACTCCAAACATGGAAGCCTACTTTGTGGAGCCATGCAGAACAGGGTTGTAAGACAGTGATGGACTTTAAGATTTAAAATAGCTGGGGACCAGTGCCTCACACCTGCAATCCTCACTCCTCAGGAAGCTGAGAGCTGAGAATTGGGTTCAAAACCAGCCCAGGCAGGAAAGTCCATGACTTATGCCCAGTAAACTACCAACCAAAGTAGAGGAGCTGTGGCTCAAGTGGTAGAGCTCCAGCCTTTAGCAAAAGCTTAGAGACAGCGCCCAGGTCAAGTTCAAGTCCCAGCACACACATACCCTCTCTCCCTCTCCCTCTCCCTCTCCCTTTCCCTCTCCCTCTCCCTCTCCTCTCCTCTCTCTTTCTCTCTCTCTCTCTCCCCCCTCTCTGTCTCTCTGTCCTCTCTCTCTCTCTCTCTCTCTCTCTCTCTCTCACACACACACACACACACACACACACACACACACACACAGAGTAAAGCTTGCAGACTATTAAAAATAAAAGAAAATCCTTAAAGCTATCCGGGTGACTGGTGGTCAGCTGGGTCTCAATGAGCAGGACATTGGTGGAATGGCTGGCCTTGAAACAAAGCAGTTCACAGGCCTGACTCCGTTCCTGCCTGGTAGTGAACAAATGATTTCCTGCAAGAGCTTTGTCACCTGTAGCTCAGCAGGTCCTCCTCACTCCATGTCTATGCCCCAAAGTAATTAGGGCAGCATTGGTGAGAGGCTGATTCATTCCTCCCCCCCACCCCACCCCCGCGCAGAGAGACTTGGGTATCTGGGAACAGGAAAAGTTGACCCTCCTACCTTTAAGCAAGAGGTGAGAGTTAGTGCATAATGTTTTGGGGGGCACCAGTACTGAGTCTTGAAGGCAGAACCTGGACACTGTCCCTCTGCTTTTATTTTTCTCAAGGCTGGTGCTCTGCCACCGGAGCCACACCTCCACTTCCTGCTTTTTGCTGGTTAATTGAATTTAACAGTCTCTCAGATTTGTCCACCTGGGCTGACTTCACCCTCAGTGTGCAGATCTCAACCTGTTGAGTAGCTAGGATTACAGGCATACGCCACCATCACCCATAAAATTAAGAATGTTTAGTTTTAGTTTTAGTTTTTTTCTTTGCTCAAGGTTGATGTTCTACCAGTAGAACCACAGCTCCACTTTTGGTTTGGGGGAGGGGGTGCTTAATTGGAGATAAGAATCTCATGGACTTTCCTGCTTGGGCTGGATTCTAACCACAATCCTCAGATCTCAGCCTCCAGAGTAGTTAGGATCACAGGCGTGAGCCACTGGCATCCAGCTAAAATATTTAGTCTTCAGTAGCAGAAGCAGCATTGAAAAAGATGTGTGGTTGATGGGGAAAAAAATCCCAAGGGCCTCACTGTAAATAGGGTTTCAACCAACTTACACAGGAGGAAGCAGCCACCTGGAGAGGTCAGCCATGCGTCCCCAGACCCCAGGCCTGGTCCATTCATCACCCTAGACAGAGGAAGTGGTAGAATAGAGTTGAGCATGGTTCTAATGGTATAGTGTGAGCTCAGACAGGCAGCTGAGGACCAAATCCTGTTATTGTTACAAACTACACATGGTGTTTGGAAATAAGAATACATCATAGAATGGCTACATCAAGGCAGTTGATGGATAGTTTATAGTATCCCACTTGTCATTTTTGTGATGAGAACACATCAATGATCTTTAAACTTTGCTTCTATCCTCTTCATAATAGAGATAATGATAGGATTGCTGTAGGAATGAAATTTAATGATATGCAAAACCTCCACGGCCATTGCTGTTCTGCTCTCCCTGCCATGACTGGCCTCAGTTCCGGACTGTGTGAGGACAGAGAGGCCCCACCCACCCCAGCCTGCGGCCTGCTGCTCAGAGCTGCTCCTGCCCTGCACAAAGTTGTATCTGGAGAAGCACGCCCCCCCGCCCAATGTCCTTTGTATTCTCCTGTATTATTTATTTGCCTTCTCCCCTCACCTCTGGAGAGCAAATATCCTCTTCATATAGCCGAGTAGCAACCAGATCCAATTAACCATAAGATATCAGTGACTGATGTTCTATTTGTGGTTTTCTAAAGTCCTTTCTAACTCTGGAGGTTCTCTCATTCAAGGTGGTTTTTAAAAATTATTCCACAAGACACTAGGTGCAGACTGTTGCTAGTGTGTGTTTACACCTCTGTCAGTCTAGAACCCCTGTCAGTTTGACTTGAACAGAAAAGCAAGTGTCTTCACTGTGGGACTTCCTCAAGCCTCACATGCTAAATAAACCTCCCAGAGAAGGGACACATCTGTACTGTTTCCAAAGCACATTTCACAAATGCTTTTCAACTCCTGAGGATGAGTGTTGTAGAACACATCAGTAGATACAGTAAACACAGGAGGTGCGGGTTCTAGGTGGGTACTGCGGACAGGGCAGGTGCAGGTTCTAGGTGGGTACTATGGACACGGCAGGTGCAGGTTCTAGGTCGACCTGGTCCTGCTCCCTCAGGGTTTCTGCTTTTAAGCCTGCCATGCTTATGGTAGCCTTGGAGCTTCTATGCTTTCAAAATAATATAATTTCTAGGACATCTCCTCATATACTATGATTTTTCTAGTAGAGATGCTTTGAGAAACACACACACATACACACATATCCACACCAGCTTTTATAAAGTGAACATACAGGACTAGAGATGTAAGTGGTAATTACTTACCTTTTGCACGAACAAGACCCAAGGCTCCTTCCCCGCTACTTCAAAAATAGGTAGGTAGGTAGATAAGACAGACAGACAGACAGACAGATAGGCACCAGTAGCTCACGCTTGTACTCTTAGTGACTCAAGGGGCTAAGATCTGAGCATTGATGTTTGAAGCCAGCCCATACAGAAAAGTTCATGAGACAGGCTGGAACTGGAGTTGTGGCTCAGGTGGTAGTTTTCAGCCTTGAGTAAAAAAGCTAAGGAGTACAGTCAGACCCTGAGTTCTAGCCTGGGCACTGGCACCAAAAACAACAGAGGGGGGAAAATGTATGTATTTATATACTGGACCTGTCAGTGTGTTAATGGACTTTTCATAACCACAATAATATATTATTATATTATTATTATAGACATCTAGTATTTAAACATGAAATTATGTTTTTGCCTGCTGAAAACAGATCATTTTCCAACTAACAGGAAAATAGAATAGTAGTTAAAAGAATAAATGTAAGTACCAATAAGCATCCTGCCTTAACTTACCTATTTCTTTACAAATGGATCCTGGACTTGTTGAGTTAAATTTTTCCCCAGGCGCTTTTAACATCATAAAAACGGAACATGTATAAACGCCAAGCCTTTCAGGTCGCCAGGAGAGTGTGTCTCAGACCACCAGAAATTTTAAACTGGTCATTGATGCGCCCCTCTGTTTGCCCTGAACCTCTGTTTACCATCATGTGCCCGGAAGAAGGCATTGGTGTTGGCGGGGAGGAGGGGGGGGCTTGGGTGGTGAGGCCTGGCCAGACCTCAGAATCCCGCCGTGCGCCCGCGTGGCTTGCACATCGGAGTCCCGATGTCTCAAAGTACACAACCAAGTCGTCTTGTGTTTTACTTTGTCGGTTTCTAGCGGTCCATGAAACACGCTTCCGAGGGCCCTTATACAATGAGAATCGGGGTTCACGCGGTGTAGACAGGGCCATGCGTGCACACGCGCGCCAACCCATGCCAGGGTGCACCCAGCACCGTGCATGCATGTGTGCACGCGTGCAAGGGCCACCAAAGACGCCTTTGGAAACACCCAGCATTCATGTTGTATAAGGGAGCCCTCTTCACGGTGTTAACTCGATTCTTTCACTCTATTTTCTTCTCTTTGTATTCCTCGCATTTCTGTTGTTTGCACAACCGCACCCAAGATGCGTTTGCCGCTTCTCCGGGGGAGGCCCCCGCCGTGCCCGAGGGCGCCACCGCGCCTGCCGCGCCCGCCCCGGTGGCCGCCGCCCGCGATGCTTGCTCAGGAAATGGTGGGTCCCCGCGACGCCCCGGGGAGCCCTGGGTGATTTGGAGGTTCTGTTTTTATGCCCCCACCCCACCCCCGTTCTGTGTCCTTCGGGGTAGAAATCACCCTTCATGCCAGCCCGGCCGGGAACGGCCGCCCCCCCAGACGTCCGGGCGGCCGGAACCCGCGCGCCTCGCCGAATTGACACCTCCCCAAGGTGGCTGACAATTCGTGCGGGCGCGAGCATGCGCACTGGACGCTCCCGCCCCGCACCAGGCGGCGTCTCTTGGCAGGAGCAGAGCAGATCTCTTAGGATCTGTGTTCACGAACTTTCCAAGCTGCGGGGTTTGGCCAGACGGATGCGGGGGGGGGGGGGGGGAAGGGGGGCGAGGATGGAAGCAGGCTCACCAGACTTAGGGGGCCACGCGTACCGCGCAGCTCGTGTTCCCGACTCCCGTGGAGCCGATATTTCCTCTATTAAAAAATACTTTTTTTCTTTTCTTTAAAAAAAGCCCCTACCGCTGCCCCTGCTGATGAGGATAGGAGCTCAGTCCAGGCAGCCCGGCCCCGCTGGCGTGCCAGTGCTCGTGCGCCCCGCCGCCGCGGGCACGCCGCCGTGTGTGTGCCCGTAGTCCCCTGGCTCACGCGTGTCTCCCCCTTCCTTCCCCAAAGACCCCTTCGCCCCGTCCGAGGGGAGCGCGGACGCTGCGCCCGAGCTGGACCTCTTTGCCATGAAGCCACCCGAGACCAGCGCTCCAGTAGTCACTCCCACTGCTAGCGCCGCACCCCCTGTTCCCGCCACCGCGCCTTCTCCTGCTCCCGCTGCCGCGGCCGCCGCCACGGCCACCACCGCCGCCGCAGCCCCGGCCCCAGCCCCGGCCGCCCCGGCCGCCGCTCCCGCTCTAGATATCTTTGGGGGTAATTCTGTTGCTCTTCTTGTTGCTGTTGTTGTTGCCAAACGCTCTGTGTCTTGTGGATTGAACCCAGGCCCTTGGGATGCACACGCATGCAACGCAACTCGGCTGCGTGCATGCTCGCACGCCTGCACGCAACTCAGCTGCATGCACGCACGCGTGCAGCTCAGCCGCATGCACGCACGCCTGTGTGCATGCAACTCAGCCGCATGCACACGTACGCATGCACGCACGCAAGCAACTCAGCCGCATGCTCGCACACACACCTGCACGCAACTCAGCTGCATGCATGCATGCACTCATGCACCGAAAGGGGACAGGGCTTCCGCTCAGCACTCCACCCGCAGCATGCCCCGCACAGCGCACAGTGCGAGGTGATGGCCACAGGCTGTGTGCCCCACACCCTGCTGCGTGGAGGCCCAGCCCGGGCTGTGCGCCCCGCTGAGCAGACCCGTGTCTCTCGGTCATAGATCTCTTTGAGGCGGCTCCAGAAGTGGCGGCGGCCCCAGCGCCTAAGCCGGAGGCTGCGCCCAGCATAGACCTGTTCGGGACAGGTAAACGCCCAGTTTCTCCTTCCGTGTCATCTCCGCTGCTGCGTGCTCGTAGATGCCCCGAACTAACCGATACCTGTGTTAGATCTCTGCCCAATTCCAGCCTTCCGCTAACTTGTGCTTGGTTTTGGCTTGTCCCTCTGGGAAGATGGCTTCTCCTCTCCACCGCACGGGGCCTCTCCGGTGCCGGACAGCGCGCTCACAGCCGACCTCCTCTCCGGTGAGTGCCCGTGCCAGGGCTCGCCTTCAGGTCTGGGGTGGGGGGTGGGGCTCGCGCACGTGCCCCAACGGGTTGCAAGTGTGGCCCGCTTCTCCCTCCGCCCATGGCCGACAGGTGAGGGTTCACGTTGCAAATCCAAGGCTGGTGGAAAAAAAGAAAACCTTTCCACGGGAATCCTCGGGACCCCGAGCCCCAGGCCGGGCATAGGGTGTAAAACCCCTGGCTCTATCCCAGCCGTGGAGCCGGCCTGGGGGCCCTGCGCGCCCCACACGTGCGCCCGCACCCCGGCCCACGCTGCCCCTCCCGCGTGACGCGCACTCTCGTGTTCTGTGCTCACTGCAGTGGATGCGTTTGCCGCGCCCGCCCCGGCAGCCGCTGCTTCTCCCGCAAAGGTGGAGCCCGCGGGCGTGATAGACCTGTTCGGGGGTGCGTATCTCTCCTCCTCCCACCCTGACCACCACTCGCTTGGTTTTATTTTCCGTTTTGCACCATCGGCTCTTGTTCCTCTGTTTCGTTACGTTTCATCCTTTTTCTCCAAACCACGTGGCATCATTTCTGTCTCTTCCATGCGGCATTATGTGTTTCCATTTCTTTTGCCATCATCTCCAACCTCATCATTGCATCCCCATTTTCACTGCATGACCCGCCGCCCTCCATTCCTCCCAACCCTCGTCAACCCCAGGGTCGTCTTCTCTGCCCCTCTCCCTTGGTGATCCCGGTCTTCCGGACCCGGCACCGTTCCGGAGCTCTTTACAATAGAACGGTGGAGGAGACCATTCAGACTTGGACACACATCCCCCAGTCAAAACCAAAGGCGTAAAAGCAAGATGGCACGCGTGTGTGCCACCGTGGGTTTACATCACGCTTAGTGTGTTAGAAATCCTCCGGAGAGTTTGAAGATGATTTTTCTGGGTAGGATGTATCCTTTTCTTCCTTTTAACGACATCGGAAAGCAGGAACACGTAGAGAGTTCTGCAACCACCTCTCTGGGTGATCCAGCTAAAGTCTTCTGTTGGCAGTAGACTTCTAGAGACAAAGTCTGGGCCATGTCCCCGATGCTCGGGGGGCCCTCGGAGGCTAGTGAGCCCTCCTGAGCCACGGGAATGTGGTTGAGCTCCTGTTGGACATCAGCATATCATGACCCATGCCTGCCCCCGGCCCTGGCAGGTGCCGTTGAATGCCAAGAGCTCACCAGGTCAGGACTTGGAAGTCTCGTGCCCCAGTCATGGACACTTAAAAAGTACAGAGTTGTTGCTGCTGCTTGAGCTGCATTCAAATTTTCCAAAGTTGGATAGTCTTCTAGGTGGGAAACTTCTGTTTTGTTTTTTTTTTACCTTTGGTAAAAAATAAATTAATGACAATTTAAACCTCAGTCCTGTTTTGGTAAGTGACGAGATTTGATCCAAAAGATTCATTCTTTTCTTTTTAAAGTGTCTTAATATCACAAAGGTTGGGGGGGGGGGGGTGTCCTGATTCCTAAATGTTTTAGAAGGCTTTTGAGAAAAGGAAATGTTTAGAGATGATGTTAGTAGCACACATAGCTGTCTTCCCAGCACTCAAAATGCCGCTCAGATAGGACGGTCAGAAATTTGAGGCCAGCCTGGGATACCCTGCAATACCCCCCCTCCTCCAAGTATGAACTAGAAGTGTTTAGAGCATCGCTTCATTCACCCATCACATTGCATGCACACAGGGGACAGGCCCACATACAGGATGTCCTGTCTCTGCGTGTCTGTGCCTCACACTTGAGTTGCCTACGGTACTTACTGTTGACGTTCTCTTGCTTTTTTTTTGCTGCATAATGGATAAACGGATAGATGCTTTTGGAACTAGTGCATCTGAGTCCCAACCTACTCCTCAGGCAGCTTCTAGTTCATCAGCCTCGGCCGACCTACTAGCTGGTAACTCATTTAATTAACGTAGCGTTTGGAAGAAGTTAAGTTCAGATGTATATTTATAAGTAACAGATACTACGTAAGTTGAAAAGTACATTTTTCTTTCACATTCAAGACATGAACTTGAAAACCATGGCATTCTATACGGGAAGGTTGATTATTTCCCAGGATTTTATGGAAGCAGTCTTAAAGTCACAATTAATTGTATACAATGGTGGCTCCTTGGATTGTCCCAACCTGCCTTATTTTCATTTAGCACTTGTCTTTTTGTTTACTGAAAAGATAATGGTCTTGTGTGGCAGTTTTCACCTTATACTAACTAGGCTCATTTATCTTGGATTTGTGGGAAATGTACCATGATATTTAACAAATGGTGTTGTGATATATAAATCATCCTAGGAAAAACTTATTAGAGATCTCTACCATTGACTTAAAGCTCTCTACCATTGACATAAATCATTGTTTTAACAAGCTGATCATTTTTCTATCTGAAATACATAGCTGATGCTAGCTGAACAGAGACATGGTATGGGGTAGATTGGTACAGTCTATCTAGAGTCCTTGCTTATTGTTAGCATAGAGTAGACAGAATAAGAGAGAACTATTGGAACCAGGCGCTGATGGGTCACACCTGTAGTCCTAGCTACTCAGGAGGCTGAGATCTGAGGTTTGTGGTTCAAAGGCAGTCTAAGCAGTCTAAAGAGACTCTATCTCTAATCACTAAAAAGCCAGATGTGGAGCTGAGGCTCTAGAGCACCAGCATTAAGTGAAAAACCTAAGGAACAACTCTCAGGCCCCTAGTAACTGACACACACAAAAGAGAGAGAGAACAGTATAAGTACTCAAGGACAGGAAGAACTTTGGGGCAGGAGAGCATTGCATCATGGGAATCAGACCTCAAAATGATGGAATGTGCCAAGTACAGGACCAGATGATCAGGGAAACTCAGTAGGTTTCCACATGGCACAGCAGGGATGCTACCCAGGTGCAGACTCTGAGACGCAGCTTCCATCCGGCTAGTCCCTTCAGGGGATGCACTTTGGTCCTGGGCTAGCCAGAAGCCATAAGGATCATCAAGGATCATCACAACATAGTACAGCTGCCACATGGGAATCTGCCACGTCTCTCGTGTGGCTCTCTGTAAGAGTAAGTGACTAGCTCCCATCTCAAGGGTAGGACTCATGGTTGTAAGTAGTATCATAAACAATACTGACCCCAGTGTTGCAGGCCAAAGCGTTGGTGTTCGGCTTTGTAGTAATGGCAGGTCCTGAGGCACCCTTGTCAACCTGCAGGGTTGTAGGAAGTTTCTTTGAGTTCTCATCTTTCCTCAAGAAGCTGGAGGTAGTCGGCTGCTAACCTCTCCTCCCATCAGTAATTCGATCTGGTTATTTAATTCTTTCTCAAGTACAATAGTGGTTTCTTGGTGTCTTTCCTGTGCTCTCCAGACACCGTGATCGCACTTAGCAGTGTCTTGGTCACATCCTCTCATTCATTCGGCGTCTGCCAGCGGCATTTTCTTGAGCTGTGAAGAGCCCTGCCTGCTGTTGGGTTCTTGGGAAGGTGAAACATGATGAGAGACAGTGGACCAAACCTTTCACTTGAGAGAAAAAAAAGTTCTCAACCTTCCTGGTTATTTTCCTGGCCTAGATACTCTTCACAGTCCTTCAAATTGGCCACAGCTCCTTCTGAACTTGTATTTGTAACTCACCCATCCAAGGTCCGGTAATGAGATTTCATCTGACCCTAGAAATAGCGTAGTTTCAAATGGCTATTTGAAATGACCTATGGGCTTTAGTAAAAAACCTCTTGCTTTGAAGTTATATAAGCTTGAAATGGCACCTGAAAATGTTCTGGCTTCTTGCAGAATTCTGAGAAGTCTGCCTTTCTCACCTGAATATCTTCTACCCTGCCCCAGATAGAAAAGCTCCTACCAGACAGGAGCCTGGCAGAGTGGCTAGGCTCTGATTGCCATGTACAGGGCTGGCCAGCCACCCTGTTACCTCCCACGTGCTCAGACTGCTGTGCCCCTTGACCCTCCAGGCCTAGAACTGAGCTACTGCTTCCAGAAGAGCCCACTGGGGCTCATCTAGTGTTTCCCACTAAGAAACGGAAAACGGAGCATTCTCACCCGGCTCCAAGTCAGAGGTTAGTGACTCCGTCAAGAGATTTGCTCCTAGGGACGAGACAGGATCTAAAAAACATCAGGAGCAACTAGGAAAGGGCTGTCCCATCCATCAGGTATCATGGGGAGCTTGGAAAAAGTCCCCCAAAAGAAAGTATATTATTCAATCAAAAATGGGATACCAAAAGAAAGAAGAAAGAAAATTGGTGATGAGAGTTCAGTTTCATTTATTCTGCACATTCTACTTCTTCCACTACAACTTCCATGGCTCTTTCAATGATGGGGAAATTGTATATTGTGTAAACTTTCTTATTTTCTTTTCTATGTAAGTAAACTAATATTTACTGCAAATGAGTCTATGTGGGTTTTAATGCTTCCAAAACAATTGAGTTAATTTACACAAATGGAAGCATATTACCTTATGATCGAAGAAATTTTAAGTAACTTTTAATTTTGAAGTTTTTTTCCCCCTAAGGTTTAATCTTGGGACCAGATTGTGTTTTAATTACAGAAAGGCATTTCTCATGCTTGTTTAAATACCAAAGCAACAGGAAATCATGTTCTTAGTTTTTTTAAAAAAAAATCTTGAAATATCAATGTAATTCTATCCTGTAAACTCGGGGATTCTAGCCAGTAGTGACTATATGAGTTTTCACATTACCCCAAGCATTTTCATTTGGTGCACATGTAAGTCTGCTTAAATAGAATCAGTTTTTAAAAAATTGTAGATAGCAAGCCCACAAACATGATAGGGTTCAAATCAGGATCTGAGGGGAGGGGTGAAGGAGGGATGGAGGGAAAAGAAAGGGAGGATGAGAGATAACAGAGTTTGTGTTTTATGGAGAATGTTCTAGTCTTACATTATTGGCTATGAGTAATAAAACTATTTAATGAACATGAAAGAGAACAAACAATACCCAGATGATCATGAATGGTTTAGACTTTTCATTAAGAGCTTTATTGTAAGGGCTCTTTCCCTGTGCCACCTAAGATTAGTCCCCGGCTTGCTTTTTTGTTTTTGTTTGTTCTTCGGTGCTGGAGATCATTGAACCCAGGACCACAGCAAGCACTGTGCTGCTTGACTCTATCTTCAGCACTGCTACTTTTTTTTTTTTTTAAAGGAAATACATTTACATGAAAATAATAAGGGGAAAAATAAATAGCAGGCATAGTATTCTTTAGACATTTAAAAAGTAACTTAAAAACAGAAAAAAAATTATTAAAATTTTATGTAAGACAAAGACTAAGTAGTCCTTTTTTGTGTGTTGGTCTAGGGGCTTGAACTCAGGGACTGGAGCCTTCTGCTCAAAGTTGGCACTCTACCACTTGAGCCATAACTACATTTTCTGGCTTTGCTCTGTGTGTGTGTGATTAATTGAAGACATGAGTCTCATAGACGTTTTTGCCCAGCTGTCTTTGAACTGCAGTTCTCAGATCTCAGTCTCCTGAAGAGCTGGGATTACAGGCATGGGCACCAGGGCACGGCTGAGAACATCTTTCCTTTAGTAAAGGTATTCACAATGCAAATCGACCTTTCAAATACTAAAATTGCCTAACATGACCTCTGTGAACTCGAGAAAGACTTTCATAATAACTCACAACTTTTCCAATCTGAAGTATTTTTCATATCCTCAACCCACATCACTCTCAGCTCCTCCCAGGCTGAATATTCTTATACAACAAGGCAGAGTAACATCTGCTGCTGTTTTTGTCCATTAACTGAGAGAAATGATTTCTGTCTAGTCCTCAAGGAATAAAGAATTTTAGGTCCGGTTAACTTTCAGTAGACTTTGTGATCTTCTTACCTTCAGTCCACAAACACAAATGCAGTGTTTAGGCTGAATATTAGTAAATGGAAGCCACTGGCATTGTAAGATCTGAAAGCCATGGGATATTATTGGCAGATGATAGAGAAATGACTTGGTTAGCATGTTCTACCCCAGCTGCATGTGGAACCTGCATTGGTTAGGTCCAGCCTGGAGACAGGCTGCCTGCCCAGGACTGCTTCTGAATTCCAAAAGCAGAGTTAAGCAGGCCCATATTTGGAGATAACCCACCAGAGGGCCTGAGATACATATAGAAGATCGTCTTCTGTCACTCTAAGCTAAGGTGCCTACCTAGATACTTTCTAGGTGGCTCCTAGTATATTTGTAGAAACATAAGATCCTCAAATATAATGAAAATAATTGCCTGACTTTTAACCCCAATGATGCTTTCTTTGCTTTTTGTACTTGGTCATAGTAACAATTGGATGCCACCGGTTCTTTTAATAAGTCCATATATCCCTGTGTACGATATCGTATTTCTAATTAAAGTAAATCTGTCGTTAACACATGATGGATCAGCATACTAGAAAGCCTGCTCAAAGGGGAATGATTCAGGGGAGGAACCCATGTGAGGACAGAGAGGGAAAGGGATATATTCATATAGTTTATAAATGTTAATTTACCAGTTAGTATACATTGCTATGTTTAAGAAAATGTCAAGAAACTCAGCAAATTGTTTTCATTTGGGGAGAAGGAGCAGAGATAAGGAGTAATAGGTGAATTTGATCCAAGTATATCTCAATCATATATACATATGGGAATATCACAATGAAACGCCTCTAAACAATTAGTTGACATTATTTAAAAGAGAGAAACTTTGAAAAGTGAAATGTTCTGGGCACACTGCCTACTAATAGCCACTGTGCATTCTTTTTTCCTTTCTTTTCTTTCACCATTAGTTGTGTTTGCTCACCTTTTTCTGGGATTTTTTTTTTAATTTCCAGGGTTTGGGGGTTCGTTCCTGGCCCCTTCTCCGTCCCCGGTGACCCCGGCTCAGAATAACCTGCTCCAGCCCAATTTCGAGGCAGCCTTTGGCAGCACGCCCGCCACTTCCAGCAGCAGCTCCTTTGACCCGTCAGGTAAGGCACCGGCTGGCAAGCCTTCTCACCGTCTCTTCTGATAACAACACAGAGCAGCGGAGGTCAGAAAGCCACCAGCAAGCCTGAGTGATAGCCAGGCTTGAAAAGCTAAGTCTCTCTTTCTAGAAACAACCTGAATGAAACTTTCCAGTACCTTTTTACAGCTTTAAGAATAGCCTACAACCCTTTCTGTTTCTCTTCTTGATTTTTAGCAGAACTCTCACTTAACCACGCACACCATCTCTTTGCATGAGCTTACACGCACATGACTTAGAAATGGTCAAGGGACACACACACACACACACACACACACACACACACACACACACACACACACACACACACACACACACACACACACACACACACACACACACACACACACACACACACACACACACACACACACACACACACACACTCTTGGTACGACCTTCGTACCTGAGTCTTTGTCTCTGAATTGGTCGGACAGCCCCCTGCCTGTTGCTTAGACCCTCGAAAGCTTGCATGGCCCTCAGTTTGACGAAGTTGAGACACAAATAATATTCTTTGCCTGCCTTGGACCTGTCATCACTGCTGTCATTTTGTTTGTATTTTCTTCCATTCTCCTCTCCCCATGCTGGGTCCTCACTACAAATTTTCAATTGGTGAGTTTTTGGTAATTCAATGTGTTTCAGAAGTACCCTAAATACATCCCCTGCCTGACAAATTGGTTGCGTCTATTGCCAGTGCCTAGTTGAATGCTTTCCTTGTTTTACTTTATAACTCTTGCGTAGTAGCATATATGGTAGATACTCGTAGTTTCTTGATTAAAACAATTGTTTACAACCACAAAATGAGATTTCAGTATCTTATAAAGATACAGCATCTGCATTTTGAAGTCTTTTTGAATTCTAGCATCTGATACGTGGTATTTGTCCTACAGAGATCAGACACCATCAGTGATGGTCTTTGATTGCTAATTCTTAGAATTTTGTTTAATGTAAACATCCCCTTTAAAGTGAAAACTAAACATAATTGCTACAGTGAGAGAGAAAGAAAAGCCAAAGTTGTTGCTTCAAAACTAACCATCAGCCATTCTGTAGACATTTACTACTAGGTTCTGACTATTAGATTAAGTGTTCTATTTTCATAGAAAACTAGGAGGTGTGATCTTCTTTGCTTATTGAGGAATTACTTTAAAGGAAGCGCCGTAGGTTTTCAGAGTAAAACCTTTAGGCCTTGTGATTAGTCACTATCCTTTTGAGTAAAAAAAAAGTATTTTTGTAGCAGTTGTTAATAAGACTAGCCGTACAACAAAACAAACACTCCACTAAACGAGCTGAAATGGATTCCCTCATTTACTGTTACACTGAAGCCTTGTATGATGTGTTAGTGGCACTCTCCCCACTGAGAGATGAGAAAACAGAAAAGCCTAGACAGTCGCTCCACAGAAGTCAGAGAGCTAGCGGGGTCAGGGATCATCCTATACATTTTACAGCTCTCTTCCCCATCTCTCTCCATCCTCATTAGTGTTCCAATGCTTTCTGAGCAGACCCGTGTAGCGTGCTCCCCGGCACCCTGCTGTGGCTCACGTGCCTTCCGTCATACGAATGCATAGTTACTCATTGCCATCTGTGACAAAAAGAGAGTCTCTCTCTCATTCTGCCTGTGATTGCTTCCCCCCCCCCCATTTCTTTCTTTTTTCGATCATTCTGAATCTGATCTATTTGATTTCCAGTATTTGATGGTCTAGGTGATCTTCTGATGCCAACCATGGCACCAGCTGGGCAGCCTGCCCCTGTCTCCATGGTACCACCCAGTCCAGCCATGGCCTCCAGCAAAGCCCTGGGAAGTGATCTGGATTCGTCCCTGGCCAGCTTAGTAGGCAGTGAGTAATCAGCTTTCTTCAATGGGCGCCTACACGAGGTGTGTTGTTTTCCGTCCTTTCACACATCTTCCGGCTGGTTTTGCTGATGGAGAGGATAGAAAGACTTAGCGCTCAACCCAGAGCCCTTCAAGGAAGGTAATAGTGGTGAATCCATTGTCTCAGGAGTACCTGTGCCATTTTTAATCTGAACTACCACAGGAACAATTAAGGAGCATGCACAGGTATGAAGCCAAGTGGATGGTATGTAGTAAAGACTTTCTCATCATTTGAAAACAAGGGTAGAGAGTAAATTGAACACAGGATATCTGAATAATATGCTATATAATTGAGTACAGTATATTTGAAATACACTAGTATTGAATGCAGTATATTTGAATTCTGTACTGTAATATATAATATAGGATATTATGTAGTGTATTTAAAATTGTGTATCTGCATTTCAGTCATTCATTCAACAAATGTTTGAGATAAATGAGAGATAAATCAATGAACAAAATAGATAAAATCTCTATTCTGATGGCCCATAGGAAAGGCAGAGACAAACGGTAGACATTTTAAAATAAGCAGATTCCAGGATGGGTGCATTGGTTCATGCCTATAATCTCAGCTACTTGAGAGATAGAGATCAAGAGATCTTAGCAAGTCCTCATCTCAACTAAGAAGTTGGGTGTGGGGATGCATGCCTGGGATCTCCAACAGTGTGTGCTGGCCCAGAGCAAAAACACAAGAAACTATTCGGGGTTGGGGGGGGGGGGAATCAAACACACAGGGCTGAGCAAACGTAAAGTCCTGAGTTCAAACCACACTACCACCAGCAGAAACTAATTGATTGAATTAAGTAAGCAAATTCTTTAGTATGTTAAGTCCTAAGTGTCATAGAGACAAAACAGAGGAGAGAAGAGGAATCACTTGTGAGGCCATTGGGAGTGAAGCGAAGGACAATGAAACCCCAGCTCAGGCTGGGGGCAGAAGGCGAATGTACAGCCTGTGCAGTGGAAAAACACCAGGGCCGGAGGTGGCGGGGCATGAGGGCCTCTGCCCAGCCTCTGCCTCACTTCTACACCTTCAAGGAAGCAGGAAGTATGCTCCACAGGAGCACATTTTCAGTCAGTTAGCTGGTTACCATTCTCTATGAAACTAATGGTAAATAACTAATTATTTAATCACAAGTGCTTGTCACCTTCCACTTACAACAGTTTGTAACCATGGACTGTGGACTAGTCAATCCAGTTCTCAGACACAAGGTAGACAGCTGAATCTACGCATGCCTACCCTTCGGCAACACATCACAATGTGGTCCTTGAGCCAAGTGTGTGCAGCTCACACCCGTAACCCCAGCTATTCAGGGCGCTGAGATCTGAGGACCACAGTTGAAAACCAGCCTAAGAAGACAAATCCAAGACTCTTATCTCCAGTTAACCAGCAAGAAGCCAGACATGGAACTGTGGCTCAAGTGGTAGAGCAACAGCCTTGAATGAAATGCTAAGGAACAGTGCCTAGGCCCTACGTTCAAGCCCCAGAAAAACAAAACAAAACACCAAGATGCAATTCTTAAGCATGACATGTAATAAAATTAAATCGTTAAGTTTGTAAAGATCTTTTTACAATTGGATGCAGGCACTCCAAGCAAAATGTTAGACTTTCTCTAAGTTTTTTATTCCTTGACTTCTTAAGTATGTAAGTGGAATATAGTGATTTCAATTCCTTTTTTTTTTTCTTTTATCCATTTATAGATCTTGGAATCTCTGGTACCACAACCAAAAAGTAAGTGTTTTGAAATGATCTAATTTCCTTTTAACAGTGTATTTGTGTTGGTTTGAGACTATCAAACATTGCTGTCATGCTCAGACTGGATAATTTCAAAATCCATTCTTCATTTCAAATAGTTGTTAGCTGCTCTTCTCTTGAAACCTCTGCTCTTACCCTGCAAGGAAAAAGGATAATCCATTGTGGTCTCGAAGACTGTTTCCATTCTATCCAGACATACTTTACGATGGTGGTTCAAATAGCTTAATAACTTAAAATTCCAAACTCATTACACTGTTCCTAGCTCACACTGGTTTTTACGAGTCTTTCACGGCACCTTGGTAGCAAGGAAGGCTTTTAAGGTGGTAGGCAATGTATGCTGTCCTGCCTTCAAATCACCGCAGGGCAAAGTGTCAGCATGACACAGTGATATGAAACTCTCCAAGATCCCAAGTTGCCATCAGCAGTGTGTCTCAAATCCAACAAAATAGAAGTGGCTAACATTAATCATGTATTCTTTGTAAACTTGACGATGAGTGAGGAATTGAGTTAAATATTCCAGCATACTTTTCTGTACAGGTGACAGGAAATTTCTGTTATCATTGAGATCGAAATGAATATTTTCTTCAGTCTTTTAGATAAAACAGGATAAGACCCCTTCTGTAAGTTTTTACCTTCTTCCATTTTTTTTCTAATTCTTGGCTCTGTTTCCTTTGTCTGCTTGGTTTGTAGGGGAGATCTCCAGTGGAATGCTGGGGAGAAAAAGCTGACTGGTGGAGCCAACTGGCAGCCAAAGGTGACGCCAGCCACATGGTCTGCGGGCGTGCCCCCGAGTGCGCCTCTGGTAGGTAACGTGGCAGGGGGTGGAGGGGGGGAATGTGGGAGGAGGCCTCCAGTGTCCATGTTCAGATGTGCGGAGCAGAGGGCATTTCTCTGAATGTGGCCACTCACGTTGGGTTTCTGCCTCCATGGTGAAGAAGTAGAAGCAAGATGCAAAGTCTACTGGAACACAATTCCACTGACTTTGATGTCCAATAACAACGGGACCTATTTTTTACTTTAAATAGTTTGAAATGTTTTCTATGCTTCTTCTGTATTTAAATAATTATGGGAACAGTTTTTCCGAAGCATTTCATTATCATATCCCAGATCCAAAGAGACTCCAAGATACCCAGTGAAAGGAGCTAGAAACTTTATTACTACCGTGCAGGGACTGCTTCCTACCACTGGGAAAGTAGGAGACTGGCCTTGAGCTCAGGATAGGATGGGTTTTTGTAGGAGTAGGTTACAAAGAGTTACATAGATGAGCCATGCAAGGCAGGTTTGGCACATTTTCATTGGTTATAGTTATATGACCTTTAAATTCATTTGTTCTTTATGGTAAATATCACATGTAATAATTTGCAATAGGCTGCCCATAGTGGGACCATTCGGTGGTGGTCTTCAGTTGGTGGGCTTAAGGCCCTGTTACTGAGGCAAGCAAGCAAGGTTATAGAAGTAAAACATAGCAAAAACATAGCCTTGAGTCGCAGGAGCATAGGCAAAACATAATCTTGACTTGGTTAGCATGATCAATACTGTCAAAGCTATTGACACTATTACAGAAGTGGTTTTTATTGTAAGCTCCTGACTAATACAGCAGCTCAGTGCAGCTGGTGATAAGCCTCAAGGTTGTCAGTAGCCTTCTGAAAAGCTGCCAGCTTGGTAAACTTGAGTGAGGGAGAGATGTTCTCTTGCTTTTTAGCAAGGATGGAAAAGGGACAAAAGCTGACTACTGGTCAGCCTTTGTCTGGGGTTTTTCTTTCTCAAGACGTTTTGCCCTTTATCAATAATTTTGTTCTGTTTTCTGATTTCACATTTTTGTTCCCATGGACATTCTTTTGCCAGAGAAAAAGGGGTCCAGGGGGGAAGAGTACATTTCCAACAGCAGGAGGGACTGAGGCCAGACAATAGGAAGAACTTTTTACCAGTGAATAGTAACTCAGATATTACATTATTGTCGTCTATCATGCAATCTTTTAGTCTTATTTTTTTCCTACATTTTTCTGATTGTCCCAATCAATAATCAATGAAAACTTTTTTTTTTTTTTTTTGCCCAGAGCCAGGGGCTCATTCCTGCAACCCTAGCTACTCTGGAGGCCAAGATCTGAGGATCATGATTCAAAGTCAGCCTAGGAAGGAAGGTTCTATGAGACTCTTATCTCCAATGAACTAGCAAAAAGCCAGAAGTGGAGCAGTAGCTCAAGTGGTAGAGCACCAGCCTTAAGCACAAAAAGCTAAAAGATAGTGCCCAGGCCCTCTATGTTTATTTTTAAAAGCAAAACTAGGTGAGCCATTGCTGCTTGAACCCCTCTGGGGTTTCTGTCCTGTGCTCATCTGCTCCTGTCTGCCACTCCTTAAACTCTCTGGGCACCGCCCTCTCCTTGTTCTGAACTAACTCCTGAACTTCGCTCAGACTCCAGCCAGACAAGCACGCATGAAAGAAATATAAACATGAATAAATACAAATACAACATAAATATGAACTAAGGTGAATTAGAATGTATAAGTGTATGCCTAGTAGAAGAAGCCATAATCAACGGAATGAGTAGCTTAAGATTCTATTTAGATTCAGTATTCACAATAGGCCAGTCCATAGAAACAGGCACTCAGCGATTGAATGGCTCAGGCGGTAGGGGAAAGGGAAGTTAGAAGGGACTGTTTCTTTGGGGAATGATAGAAATATTCTGGGATTAGACAATGATGATGATTTCACAGTTTATAACTCTAAACGGTGCATGTAAATGCTGCATGAGTTTTATCTCAGTCAAGTTTTTTATAAAGAAAATACCAGGCTGAGCCCAGGTGGTTCACACCTGGGGAAGAACTCAGAAATGACCCTTGATTGCACTTATCTTTTTGTCGGTCGTGGGGCCTGAACTCTGGGCCTGGGCGCTGTCCCTCAGCTCTTCAGCTCAAGGCCAGCGCTCTACCACTTGAGCCACAGCGCCACTTCTGGTTTTCTGGTGGTTTATTGGAGATAAGAGTCTCACAGACTGCCCAGGCTGGCTTTGAACCGTGATCCTCAGATCTCAGCCTCCTGAGTAGCTAGGATTACAGGCGTGAGCCACCAGCGCCCGGCTGGGATGAGTTTTAAATGAGGGGAAGGTGTAAGGGGAGGCTCAATGGGGTATGCAAACCCCCCCAGCCCTGACCCGGAACCGCCCAGCCCTGACCCGGAACTGGTAGACTGCACCGCCATCTCCTAACGGCTTCCTACAGGAAGAACCGCCCGGGGCCTGGTGCATGCCCACAACAGGACAAAACCAGGAACGACACCCAGAGGAGTAGTCAGAAATGCGGGCGGTGTGCGGACCAGGCCAGGCCGGGGAGGACAGGGAGGGCGCCGCCCCTGGCGGGCCTCGGCGTGCGTGGCCTCGGCGTCACGCTCACGCCGGCGTTTGGCATCCAGAGCTGACGTGTGGGACTGCGCGCGCATGCGCGCTTGCGCACAGGCTTGAAATGCGCGTTTTTCGCTTGCGTCCTGCCGTCTGAAAGCCAACGGTGTTGTTTCTGTGTGTGTGTGTGTGTGTGTGTCTGCTGCTGCTGCCCCTGCCGCCGCTGTCATCGTCCTCCGGGCTCGTGGTGCGCAGCAAGGAGCGGTGCCTCCGGCCGGCGCGGTGGCCCCCGGGCCGGGCGCCCCGTCCGTGGGACAGCCTGGAGCGGGATTCGGCATGGTGAGTCCTGAGCCGGCCTACGAAGCGCGCCGGCCGGAAGCGGGGCGCCCGCGGCTCCCGCCTGTCCCCGCCCCCCCCCCCCCAAGCTGCTCGGGAGGCTGAGATCTGACGATCGGGGTTCGAGGCCAGCCCGGGCGGGAAAGTCCATGAGACTCTGATCTCCCACGAGCCACCAGGAAACCAGAAGTGGCGCTGTGGCTCAAGCCGTAGAGCATGCGCCTGGAGCGAATAAGTCCCATGAGTGCCCAAGCCAAGCCCCAGGTCTGACACACGCACGTGCGTGCGCACGCACACAGACAGCACGTGTGTACACGCTAGAATAAGTCCGTGGGCCGCACAGCCGGGCGGGATGAAGGCACCCGCCGTGGGTAGCGGGCTGTCCACGCCCCGTGACTCCCCCTGTTCACGGTGGCCCGTCTGGGGGTCCGCGCGTGGGGTCCACGCCTGTGCAAACCTCTTCCCCCCCCACCCCCCCGCAGCCTCCCGCGGGCGCCGCCATGCCCATGATGCCCCAGCAGCCGGTCATGTTCGCACAGCCCATGATGAGGCCGCCCTTCGGAGCCGCCGCGGGCCCCGGCGCGCAGGTAGGAAGCCGGCGTGGGGAGCACTGAGGCGGGAGCACCGGCCAGGGCGGCGCTTGGGGCGGTTCCCTGGCGCCCGATGCACGCTCTTGACTCTGGCCTCGGGGAAGGGCGGGCACTCCCGCCAGGTTGCAGACATAGAACCCCGGGTCTGCCCGAGCGCCCACGCCGCGAGTCCCGGATCAGCTGCTTCCCCGCGCAGGTTCCCCCCCCCCCCCCCCGGGCGCCCACGCCAAAACACCCGGGGCGCGGGAGAGCACTGCGCACACCCGTGAGCCCACTGGATAGAGCCCCGGGGACAGCTGGCCCCAGAGTGTCCCCGGAGTGCGTTCCCCTGTGTGTCAGCTCGGAAGCTGCCTAGCCACAGGCCCTTGGGGTGGCGATGGCTGGGTGAGCAGCACTCTGGGGTTCGCATCAGCCTAGGCCTACAGACTTGGGAAAGCCTCTTCCGTGACTGCCAGCAGGAGCAGCCAGCCATCTTGTCACCAAGACCTGGAGGGGGAGGGGGGCACAGAGAACAAGCCTATCACTCAAGGAGTTAGGCCTTCCACCTTAACCACCAGGATGCAGGATGGGGGGCGGGGGAAGCAGGTGGAGGGGAAGGGGGCTGCAGGAATCCGTTTAAGTGAGGCCGGGTTCTCGTCTATGCCATGTGCTGCTTCCACTTACAAAAAAAAAAAAAAAGGCAAAATACATGTAAGTTTCACTAACAATTCCCAACTACCCTGGGAGCCAGCCTCTCCTGCTTAGCTAAGTCCCTTGTCAAATGGTGTTATGCAGCCAAAGCGCTTTGGCCATCGTGAGACACTGACTTGGGCAGAGTCCTAATTAGGACTGGAAGAGCAACGTCCTGAGCACGCTAAACCAAATAGCCACTCACACCAGAGCACGGCTCCGTGCCTGTCCTGTTTTTTACTTAACCAAGTGAGTGTTGCCTCTTATCCTTAGAGGACTTACACTGGGAGCCTTGTGGATAGATTGCATCCCTTTTTTTCCTTGCTCCATCATTAAATCTATCTTCTACCTGTCCCCAAAGTTTACTCTCAGCTTCTTTGGCCCCTAAAAAGCTGCAAGTGAGCAAAGGGTTGGTTTCCCAAAAGATGGTGTAGAAGGCAAGAAACCCTGGCCTGCACCATACCCAGGACTCTGGTTTCAGGAAAGGTTTTCTAGTCTGTTGGACACTAATGAATCTCATCTAACAGTGCTTTAGGGGAGACGAGGAAGGTTACAAGCCTCTGTCTGGTTGGAGTAAAATTAGCCTGTATTCCAAGATGGATTTTATTTGCTGTGTTGCCTGGTAGTTGAATAGATCAGCAAATGCTACCCTTTGGGGAAGAAAGAAAGGATGTTTCTAATTTTGATGGACTTAGCACAATCTTAAGAGTTTGTGGAGGTCTTATTATTGTTGTTTTATTTTTTATGCCAATACTGGGGCTTGGACTCAGGGCCTGGGTGCTGTCCCTTAGCTTTGTCACTCAAAGCTGGTGCTCTACCACTTGAGCCACACCTCCACTTTTATCTTTTTGGTAGTTTATTGGAGCATGGACTTTCTAGCCCAGACTGGCTTGAAACCTCAATCCTCAAATCTCTGGCTCCTGAGCAGCTAGGATTACAGGCATAACCAGTGCCTTGCTGTTATTGGGATTTTTTTTTAAACCTTATTGTATTTGTTGTGCTAAACACTTTAGAAATAAATTAATTGAGTTTTATCACTTGCAGTAGTCTTTCTTTCATAATACTAGTTTAGCATCAATTGTTACTTAATTTGGAGAATAGAAATGAAAAGCATGATATAATAAAGATATATCATTTTAATTAATACATCAATTTATAGTAAGCAGGTAGATGGCATGCTATTTTTATGTAATTTTTAGATTATTTTTTATGTCAAAGAAGTATAATTATCCTAGAACATAAAGTAAACTTGAGTTTGTAGCTTGAGAATGTAATTACTTATTACCAATGCCTAGGCTATCCCAGTGCTCATTAATTGGTTCATATCCTAACATTGTCATCTCATCTATGGATTCATTTATGGATCAATGCTCATATCTCTTCCAGTATTTGCCAAGCATCATCTCCATTTTGCAAATGGCATTTGACCATTAGATGATCCTTCTGGATGTTCTAGGATGAAGCTCAGAATTGCTCCTTCTGTGTGCTAAGCCTACCCGGAGGTCCCCCCTCCCCCGCCCCACCCCACTGAACTCAGATTTCATCAGACAAATGGGAGATTTTGCATTAGGTGCAACAGAGAGCTAGCTATCACCTGCAATGCTAGCCTGAGGCCTGAGTAGGCCTTAGCCCTGAGCCTTGTAGAGAAGCCTGCTCCCGAGCTCTCTCCAGTACCGAGGTGATGTAGGAGTGCTGTGTGCCTTTGGCTGTACATCTCGTAAAGGTCTTTCCTACTGCCAGCTGGATGGGTGGATTGCATCTTCACCACACTCATAACTAGAAACCCACCTGCTCCCTAAACAAACCCTACCCACCAAAACCTGGTTTTCATTTCAAATAAACTGCTTACAATCTTAGTCTAGTTTGCTCATCATTTTAAGAAGTATCTTAAGTGGCTTCTGCAAAGTTGCCTTTCAGCCTTTCCCACCACCGCCCTCCCTCCTGCTGCAAGAAAAGCCATTTAAATGCCTTTGCTGGCTTAGTGGCACTAATAACGCAGTAAAAATGCTTTTGTGAGGGAAACTGATGAGTGTTCATGTGTGCCGTTGTACTGTGTAGACATCACTTCTGTGTGTGGCTCGCTTCCCTCTCTCCTCACTTGTAACCATGCCACTCTGCCAGACTTCGCCAGTTTTACCTGGAGGCTAAGTAACATTTGGCTCGATCTGATAGCAGAGAATTTCAAGAAAGTCAAATATCATTGGAAGTGTTATTTTATCACCCCAGAATCAAGCACGGTGACAAAGATTGTGTCAAAGGAGAACAAAGTTCGTTTGTTTGTGTGTGACGTTGAGCCACCTGTTTTCTGCATGCTTGTTTTCTGGGGTATGCGTTCTGCCTAACGCTTGCTGTCTCTCTGTTTGCTTTCTATTCCTGCTCTTTGGGGCTGGCTGGTTTCCTTAGCTTTCTCCAAGCCCCTCACCTGCTGCTCAGAGTCCCAAGAAACCTCCAGCAAAGGACCCGTTAGCGGATCTTAACATCAAGGACTTCATGTAAACCATCGAAGGTATCTACTATTGAGCTTTTCCTGTGAGCTTGTGCTATTGAGCCATAGACACAATGCTTAGCTATTTCAGATACGATATTTGTTATTTCTGAGTTCTGGCTGGCTAATAACTGGAATCAAATTCTAAAATTCACATGAAAAGCTGTCATTACTGAAGATGTATTTTAGATCTTACTTAATGTATAAAACTGCAAGAGCAAGAACTTTAAGATGACCTCACCCTGAAAGAACTAAAATGATATTGACAAAACAAAGCTAAGCCGTGTGGTTGTTGTTGAAGATTACTGCTTCATTCTAATATGTCTGTAATTTATAGAATGCTAACATCTGTACTGTTACATTTAGAAATCAGTCTAAGAATGCATTTGGCTACCTGTTCATACTTTTATTACCTTTATTTTACCTCAAACTAAAGCTCAGGATGTTATTGTTTGCATTTTTTTTTTTTTGAGCTCATACTGGAGCCTGAACTGAGGGCCTTCCATTTTGCTTGGCTTTTTTTGCTGAAGGCTGGCATTTTACTACTTGAGTCACAACTCTATTCCTGATCTTTGGTGGTTCACTAGAGATGATTCTCACAGACTTTCCTGTCCAGACTGGCTTCCAGCCTCCATCCTCAGCTCTCAGCCTCCTGGTAGTAAGGATTACAGGCCTGAGCTCTGGCACCAGGCAGTTCAGGGGTTTGTTTGGGTTGTTGTGTTTTTGTGTTTTTTTTACACCCTCGTGTAGAGCTAAAGGAACTGAGCCCTGGGCGATAAGTCCAGAGTTATTTTTTTAGAATGAACAATAAGAAGGCAGCAGCTTTTAAACTGCTTTCCAGTGTTACTTTCATTATATTTCTATTCCCCACATTTTTAAACAATCTGCTTACTGAAATGTTTGCGGACTCCTGCACTACGACTGGTTTTCCTATTAAAAATAGCAAGTCATTATAGGACCTTGGCACCTCAGTGTGATTTCAAGTGATTTCTCTTTGTGCCCAATGTTTCCATTCCATTTTGAGTTGGGCCAGCAGAGCGCTAAGTAAGACAGCGATCCTCATTCCTTAACGAGGAACAGTTCCAGGAATGGCCAAGGAGCAGCACAGAGCCACCTTCTATCCATCCGCCTCTTAATACGCAGAGCCCTGGCCTGCCCAGAACTGTGTTGAGGAATGGAAACAGCAGGGACACCAGCGGGGCTCCATGCGGGGTCCTGGTCCCTAGGAAGGTTCCCTGAGAAGAAGAGGGTTGCAGGGGAGCAGCTGGGCTCTCCCTGCTGGGCCGTCTCTGCTCCAGCTGTTTAGTCCACACGCGACTCACTGACCTCCATCGTGGAGGAGAAACAAAAAAGAAGGGTACCCACGGCCACTCAGGTCACCTGGGTTTTTTTCCACTGCCCAGTTTTAAAGGTTCATTGTTCATTGATTCCTGAATGTCCTGTGCGTAGCTGAATTTTCAAAGCTTTAGTGATATCATTCTCACCTCAGATGAAGTGGTACGCAGCCAGTTTGTTTACGTCTACTAGATGAAATGTTAGGCCTGTTCTGAAGCGTGCGGAGTGCTTGCTTTGGCAGTATATGTACATATATATATGCATATATGTGTGTGTGCACACACACACTAGCATTGGAATGATGTGGAAAAGATGGGCGTGGCCCCTGCTGAAAGAGAACATGTGAATTCATGTTCAGTGTTTTTCTTTTCAAAAATGGAGACTTGACAGGAAACTGAGAGGTGTTCCCTGTAGGATGAGGGTACAGTGGGAGAGGAGGGGTTCAGGGGATGGAGGAGCACATTGAATAAGGCCAAAATGCCTACTGTAAACATGGGCCGGGAAACTTGGGGAGGGCAGTATGGGGTGAGGGAGGTACGGCGTACACACAGATGGGCATGCCAAAGTGAAATGCCCTGGACAACTAACCCATGCCTTGAAAGAGATGACACATTCTGAATCGGGGAAAAAACTGTGAAAGTATATCGATGTGAATTTGTTACTACAGACCCCTTTGGCAGCAAAAGGCTTTTCCCTCGTCATGGTGCAGAATTCTTGTTAGGAAGGCAAAATGTCTCAGGGCTGTAGAGGGACTGTGTTATTTCTAATTCAAGTACTTGTTCTCTTCTAACGCAAGGCCTTTTCTCTTTACAGCTGCAGTTTTTGTGACTGGATAGGAAAACTGAAATGAGTTTGGGATCTTCAGATCAGATGGCTGCTCAGAGGCTCCCAGGGGCAGAGCGCCGTGCGAGCCCCATGCTTCCTCATAACTCCTCTTCCAGGACGCGTAGCGCAGCCGCGAAGCAAGCATTAGGAACGTGAACCTTAGCTGTTCCCCCTCCTCTCAACCCCTAGTGTATGTGGGCTACTTGTGCATTGTACGTTGTCGTAAACAATGAATGGATATTTCCAATGCCTTTAGTGCTTTTCTGGACCTTGCTTGTGGACGGGTGACACAGCTGTGGTGTGGCGAGCCATTGAGAAAGGTGTGTTTTGTGTTTTTTGAAAGTTTTGATGTGTATATACAACTTTTGGACAAACCCTAAACTCTCCCCATGAATTCTCTTCTCTTCCGTATCTGTGTTACAAGCGTAATGTGATAATACCAGATAGTAAGGAAAACACTCTTAAAATACACAAAACTTTTTTCGGTGTGGAGTACATTTTTCCAATCACAGAAACTTCAGCTGTCGTGAGAAATGTTTATTTTTGTGGCACTGTATATGTTAAGAAATTTTATTTTAAAAAAATATATATAAAGGTTAACGTCCATAATAAATACTTCTCCTTGAAGCTACCTTACCAAGAATGAAAACTCATAGGGGAAGACGTCCCTATTTATCACTGCTATATTAAGATGTATATTTTAATTATATTTGACAGGTTTTGCATCTAAATTGACCTATTTATGAATTCTTGATTAAATGCACTGAAAAGTGAAGCGTCCATTTCTCTCCTGTCTGTGACAATACAATTCGAGATGTGCTATTTCTGTGGCTATGAAAATACCCCAGGGATATCTGTGACTTCAAGATTACTGCAAATATTTTTACTTGGCTGTGGGTTTTCTGTACATCTGTTCATGTCATATTTCTTTGTGTGTTCTGGAGACTGGTGTTTTTCCATCCTTCCACTGAACTCAGCGTGGACTTTGTTGTACCATTGTGACTAGAATTTAAACTGATTCCAAGAAGTGTAGCCTTCACTGTACATACTGCATTCTTTGGTTTTTAATCTGTTGTCATGTTGTCTGTGCTGATGGCTTGGCTTACGATGTGGGAGCACAAATGAGGTCGCTGTCAATCAGTGTTGCTCGTGGCTTGACGGCTCTTCATAAAAGCATATTGGATTGGAAAGGCATTCGCCTGTTTTTCAAATCACTTAATAGATGTATGGTACCATTTAAAAGTGGTTGTATCTGAATTTACTGTGGGGATAACATACACTGTAACAGGGGAAAATTACCCAAAACCAATTTCAAAATGGCTTTTCTTTGTATTTCAGTTTCAAACCCCAGTGCATGTACGCCCTCTGAGATGCAATAAACACCTTGAACAAAGAAAACGCAAACTTAACCTTTCTCTCTTTGATTACTTCCAAAGGCCCATGTCAAAGGCACAAGGCTGAAACCTTTTTAATATTCAAGATGAGAAATGCCGTTGGCGGGCTGGGAAGGTGGCTCAGTGGTAGAGTGCTTGCCTTGCATGCATGAGGCCCTGGGTTCGATTCCTCAGCACCACATAAGCAAAAAGAAAAAAGCCGGAAGTGGCACTATGGCTCAAGTGGTAGAGCGCTAGCCTTGAGCTGAAGAGCTGAGGGACAGAGCCCAGGCCCAGAGTTCAGGCACTATGACTGGCAAAAATAAAAATAAATAAAAAGGCAAAAAAAAAATGCTGTTGGTGCCAATATAGTTTTCCTTGGTTCTATCATTTAAAAGCAGGGTGGGGGAGGCATTTTAATGAGCCATCGTCATTTAACTTGGGACCCCGTACCTATTGCCAAATAAATTATCTCTGGGTCTGTTTATCATAGGGGTGTTTATATCTTAGGGTTAGCTTTCTTTTAAAACATGCAGCTAAAATCTTGTGATAGTTTGCAAGAATTCTCTATGGAAGTCGAAGAAGCCCATGCCGCCTGGTGCTGGCCTGCACACACACACACACACACACATTGACACATGGAGACTGGGCCTAAACTAGATTGTTACAGCATCTCAAAAGGGTAGTCTCAGGGATGGGGGGCAGGGAGCACCCAAGGCCGGGGTTCGGTTCCTAGCATTGGGAGGGGGAGTGGGGGGGCGAAATAGTTCAATCTTAAGTAAAAGTGTTTATCAAAAGAAAAATACTCATATCTAAAACCTACTCTTTCCTTAGTTCAAGATTTTTTTTTCCTTAGTTCAAGATTTTTATCTTGAAAGCTAAATTTCAGAAGCTAAGTAGATGACTTTATAATATGAATTTTATGAGTTAACTTTTTATATATTGTTTTGTGGACATACTGTAATTAAAATGTGTTTAGATTATAATTTTGAGGTTAGTATTGGCATTTAATACATTGTTATTCTTCCTGGAATGTCCCAGGTAAGAAAAAAAATTCTTCATAGTAAAGTGTTATAAGCCTATTGATAAAGTCAGACACTAGAACTTTGCTGTGCTGAGAAGTGGGAGACCGTTCTAGAGCCAAGGTGCTGGAGGAGACGCTCCGGGCATGGGAAAACCTCATCTTGGGGTAATGTTGAAGACAGACCAGTTTGCCCCTGGTGTTCTTACATGGTGAGTGTTTCTGTTCTTTTACTCTGCCTCTCTTTTTTGTTTTTAGTGTTGGGGCTTGAACTCAGGGCCTGGGCGCTGTCACTGAGCTTTCGTGCTCAAGGCTAACACTCTACCATGTGAGCCACAGCTCCACTCCTGGCTTTTTGGTGGTTAATTCGAGATAAGAGTCTTATTTATCTCAACTTTCCTGCCTTGACTGGCTTCAAACCATGATGCTCAGATCCCAGACTCCTGAGTAGTGAAGATTTGCAGGCATGAGCCACCAATGCTCAATTGGCTATTTTTTTTTTTTTTTTACTGTTGTTTGGGTCTATGAAACATTATGTAGTTATCTAGGCCAGGCTGACCTTAACTTTGAGAGCCTCGTACCTCTGACTTCTGAGGGTGGGATTATGGCTATGTACTACCATGCTTGTTTGTTTTAATGGATATATTATAATTGCATATATGCATAGCTAGTATATATGTATACGTACATACATACTTAATGTAAAATGATTAAATCCTGCTAACATATCTATAACCTCATATATGTATTGTTTGTGGTGAAAACACTTGGAATTTACTAGCTTGGATAAATATGTGAAGCAATACATATGTTGAGTCACTTAGTTTAGCCACTCTTCTGTGTATACATATTTCATCAATAAATCTATACTTTGTTCATTGGTGAAAATGAACTTAAAAGAGAACTAAAAGCATTGTATTCTCTTAGCAGTTATGAGCGTGTAACACCTTAGTGTTAGCTCTAATTGCTGTGCCAAGCAATGGATCTTGAAAACTTCCTTTCTCCTGTCTGACTGAAGCTTGTATGCTTCTACCAAGAATTACCCGGCCTCTGTGGTCACTGCTCCTTGCTTTCTGTGAGTCTGACTTGTGTTTTAGATGACACATACAGGTGAGATAATACACTGTTTTTCATTTTATACCTGGCATAGGTGACCTTGCAGTTTGTCCAGTTGCAACCATTCTTGCAAACGACAGCATTTCCCTTTCCTTGGATTCTGAACAGTACTCTGTTGTGTTGTCTCTCTCCCTGCATCCATTGGTGGACACTTGACCGGGCTCCCCATCATCCCCAGGGAGTCTGGGAGCATAGGGAGCTTCAGATGGAGGAGGTCATCCCTGTAGGTGTGCACGCAGGGCTGGACCAGGCCAGAGTTCCACCGCATTGGAGTCCACGTAGTTCTTGGTCAGCTCATCATAGTAGAAGAGCTCACACCCATTGAACACCCATCTCGAATGGAAGTTTTGAACTGTAGTGTGTATGTTGTCATCACTACTTTCATCAAATCATCTCTTTGTTGTTTTTCTGTTATTATTGCACTTTAAAAAAAATAAAAGCTGTGTGCCAGTAGCTCATGCCTGTAATCCTCTACTCAGGAGGCTGAGATCTGAGAATCACAGTTTGAAGACAGCCCAGGTAGGAAGGTCCATGAGATTCATCTCAAAAAAAAAAAAAAAAGAAAACAACAAAAAGCCAGAAGTGGAGCTGTGGCTCAATTAATAGGGAGCTAGCTAAAGGAGTGAGTGTCCAGCCCTGAGTTCAAGGCCCAGTACTAGCACACACACACACACACACACACACAATTGATGGTTTAGTTTACTATAGGAGCTTAAAACGTTTTTGCTTTTTTAAGTCAACTTTTTCCTCTGTGTAAGGGCAATGTCAATTTATGATACACACGGCACAGCCCTGGTTAACATGCCTGCTCGTTATCAATGAACTCCTTATCTCTTGCCTCAGAGCTGCTTTTGCTTTCTTGATTGGTCTGGGCTCCAGTTCTCACAGTGGTGCTTGGCTGGCCAGAGGTCCCCGGCGCTGTCCACCGCACTCAGCAGCCATGACCCATACTGAGACCTCATCCTCTGACCACAGGGCATACCCTCTCTCTGCCCTGTCCTGGGCCGAGAAGCCCCAGGTCTATGTTGGGCTCTGTGCTTCAAGATAATCCCTCCCCAAACCCTCACCCCAGTGCACCTGCATGGAGCTGCTCAAAGACCTCCTTCCGAAAACTCCCTTTCACCACCTTGTCCTGACTTAAAAACCTCAGTCAACTCTTGATCATCGAAGGCCAAGCGCTGTGAATACCATGGATGGTGGGTCCAGTCAGGTCTGATTTGTAAGCCTTGGTTCCTGCCATTCCTCACCACTAGGAGGCACTGTCCCCCCTTACCAGGAATCTCAGAAGCCTCCACGCCTGGCTTTGTGGGAGTGACACAGCTTTCAGCAAACTCCACCGATCCTGCCAACCCCAACCCAGGGGTCACTTCTAGAGCATTATTCTTGTCCATCATACTTGCCCAGCCAGCCCGATACAGTTCATCCTCTCTGGGTTCCTCCCATCTGTTCCAGATGTGTGTCAGGGAGGAGAGAGAAGCAGAGAGGCAGGGCTTGGAGGTGTGGTTCGGTTGGTAGAGCACCAGCCAATGAGCCAAAGCATCAGCTACCGAGTGTCAAGTCCTCAGACCAGACTGGACCTAAAGGAGGGAAAGATGACAGAGAAATCCTTACCCTATTTTGAATTTTTTTTTGGGGGGGGTGGTTCAGTCATGGGGCCTGAACTCTGGGCCTGGGTGCTGTCCCTCAGCTCTTCAGCTCAAGGCTAGCACTCTACCACTTGAGCCACAGCGCCACTTCCGGCTTTTTTCTTTTTGCTTATGTGGTGCTGAGGAATCGAACTCAGGGCCTCTGGCATGCAAGGCAAGCGCTCTACCACTGAGCCACCTTCCCAGCCCTGTATTTTGAATTATTTAAAGAAAGGTAGAATACAGAACTGAACTTTGTACGCTAAGTGCCTAAGCTTGAACTCAGTAAGACTTCATTGAACTATATTCATCTAACCTATTGATGTAATCTCCATTGTAAGATAGAGTTTGACTTTTAAAAAAAGTCAACCATGGTACTTCATTTCCAGGCAAGAAATGAATTTGGATTTGGGGCATTCATTAAAAATTAATCACACAGAAGTTTTGTAAATTTCATAAATTTCTTATCATAGAGAAACAATATCATAGCCCAACACTGTGGCTCAGGCCTGTAATCCAGGCCTTGAGTTCAAGCCTCAGGACCAGCACACACACACACACACACACACACACATATATTACATTCAAGTAGAGCCACCTCTGTGAGCTCACTGAATCTGGGGGCTTCAGTGGCTTTCCTCAGCCTCCTAGTTTCCAAATTTGGCTCCAAGGAGGACCAGCCCAGGGGATGATCAAGCCAGGTCCCCAGGGGTTCGAGGCCCACTGTGAGGCCCATTGTGGAATTAATAGATTATCATGACATAGACATATGTGTGTATATGTATACATTTACATATATATATACATAGTGTGTGTGTTTGTGTGTGTACATGCCACTGGTCCTATGCTTGAACTCAGGGCCTGGACTCTGTCCCTGAATTTTTCTTGCTTATAGCTAGCACTCTACCACTTGAGCCACACCTCTACAGCTGGCTTTTTAGGGGTTAGTTGGAGAGAAGAGTCTCACAGATTTTCCTGCTCAGACTGGCTTTGAACTGCAATCTTCAGATCTCAGCCTCCTGAGTAACTAGGATTCCAGGCGTGAGCCACCAACACCAGGCTGTCATACCTGATTCTAACCAAAGAGGAATCTCAGTACTTCAGAATCAAAGCATCTCAAGGTGACTTGTTTCATGTAGTGTGGGTCAGGAAAGCTGGGCCCAGGGTTCCACTAAGAAGCCCAGCTCTGCTCTGGGCATCAATTTGTTTCAAGGCTGCTATTTGTGGGCCTGTGGGTGTGTAGGGCCTCCACCCATGAAGCCA